GGGGTCTGCCGGCCCTGTTTGTCAGGTGGCGGAGCAGTACAGGCTGCTCCAGCTGGGGGCGCTGGCGGCACGACCGCGGCCACACACTGTGTGACATTCGCGGGTGCCGAGGCATGTGGCGCGGCGCCCCGGCGTGTCACATCTGCAAAGGAGGGATAAAATGGGTTGTGTATTGCGAAACGTTGGCGTGCTTCTTGGAATGTGAGATTGAATTTAACCTTAAGTTCTACTATTTGTTTCTCTTTTTTCCATGCGGGACATGATCGTGAGTAGGCAGCGTGATCTCCTTCACAGTTCGAACAATGGGTTGTTTCTGAGGTGCAGTTGTCCGATATGTGTGCAATGGATGCGCACTTTGCGCAAGTGGCACGCCCTCTGCAACTCTGTGATTCATGACCGAAACGTTGGCACTAGAAACATCGACGAGGGTTGGGAATGTATGGTCTTACACGAAGCTTACAATAGCCGGTTTCGATTGATTCTGGTAGGTCACTTGTTCCGAAGGTAATTATTACGTGTTTTGTAGGGGTCAGTTTGTTGTTGCACCTTATTGTTATTCGTTGGACTTTGACCACGTTCTGGTCCTGCCAACCTTCGAGCAGCTCACTTTCAGAAAGCTCAGTAAGATCATCATCAGAAATGACACCACGGACAGTGTTCATGGACCTGTGTGGGCCCACCGAAACAGGGGTTTCCCCAAAGGCTACAAGCTTAGACAGCTTTTCATACTGAGCTTTGTCACAAACCTCCAGAAGAAGATCGCCACTTCCCATCTTTGTTACTTTATAACCTGGGCCTATTGCTTCTGTGAGAGTTTTGGGAACGAGGAAAGGTGAAATGGCTCGGACTGTCTTGTTTTCGTTTTGACTGTGGATTACATGGTACTTTGGGAATGTCGGCTTTGGTGTGTTAGCAAGGAAAGTATCTTCGATGCGCCACCTTTTTAGGGAGCGATCAGGAAGGGAGGGAAAAGCTTTTGCCATAAAATACAATAATGTTCGGCGGCGATGGTGGCCACCCACCACCGAGCCCAACAAGGGGACGCTACAAGGTTGACTATTGAACACTTGGAGACGCCAGCCATGCATCGCTGCTATAACCGAATATAACTACCCAAGGTTGGGTAACTACACAGGGTTAACCCTCGCCGCCAGGAAATTCTGAAGTAAACGGAAAAGAGGAGATGACAGGACAGATAAAAAGTGAGAGATAAAGACGAAGATGTAGGAAGAGAGAGATAGGAAAAGGCGACTGCCGATTTCCCCTGGGTGGGTCAGCCCAGGGGTGCCGTCTACGTGAAGCCGGGGCCAAAGGGGTGTGTTGCCTCTGCCGGGGGGCCTTAAAGGTCCAATCACCCAGCGTCGGCTCAACCCCCAGGATCCCCTTTTCCCCGGACACGGCAAAGCCACGCACGGCTAGGCGTGGGAGGGAGTCAAAACCCCCCCATTAGCTCGGGTCCGTGGTGTCGCTACACACCAAACGGCTGCTTGCGCAGGCGCCCCTGCGGGGGTTTTAAGTGGGCTGTACCACCATTAAAAACATACAATAGTTCATGGCACAGTAGCTTTTCATTGTTATAAGCTATATATTGTTAAAACAGGTAACGTTATAAGTGTGTTAGACTGTCTTTCTTGCCTGAGATTCAATTCTATTTATGCCAAAACAGAGTATGAATGATTTCAGCAGAAATATATATTCAACTAAAGCTTAACTAGGATTAGTTATGATGACATACACGAATTAACATTATATGACAATATTTGTTGCAGTTGAGTATTGAATGCCTTGAGATATATGACAATATTTGTTGCAGTTGAGTATTGAATGCCTTGAGATAACATATCGATTTGACACATTTTCAGACAGTTCTTCGTAGCTGGTGTCTGAAGGGGGTCACACTATGAAGCTGTTGCTATAGTCTAAACGTACTTGAGACACACACACACAAAAAAAAGTTTTACAATAGACTTTACCGTAAACATGAGCTAATTATAAGGTAAGAGCTGACTGTTCCCAGCGAAAATAACGAGAGGAGTATTGATGAGTTTGATCTCTACTAAAAAGTACTTTCTCAAGTAAACCTGTAACACAAAGGCACACGTCGATCACTCTATGTCCCAATAAATTACCCATATTGAAATGGTATCTTGCCCCTGGTAAAATGGCAGGTTTTTGGACTCACTCTCAAGGCATATCCTCCACTCCAAGAATTTTCGAAATCTCCTTGAATTACCTCAAGACCACTGGAAGGCAAAATTGATTTACATCTCTATATACACTTTGTCGCACAATTTACATTATATGGGGCAACGTTCTAGTAACATATAGGTACTCACCAATATGATATTCAGAGCTTTGGCCACTCATCATGATCCACTTCAGGGAGATGGCATAGATTTTTTTATTCTGGAAGGCGAGTAGTTCATGTAGCTGCGAACAGTCAGCACTCGCGTCACTCCTGCGAAGTTTATTCAATGCATAAGAATGCTGATGTACCATAAGAGGAGATCAAAAGGCTTCATGGGGGCTGATCTTCTTGTACACAGTGTTGCGACTCCGGGTACCGCAAGTCTCATTCTGGTAGCAGGCTCCCGTCCTAGGACCTATCGTCCAACAAATCAGATGAGGTGCTCGTAAGAACGACAATAATTTGCTTACATGTTATTAACTAAGAATTCGAAAGGAGGTGATCAAGTAAGTATTAGCTCGCTTGCAGAACTGAACAGGAACGAGCACTCAAGAACTGTAAATATACAAAAATCTGCCGCTTATATAGTGCTGCATTGACAACCCTGGGCGTATTGTCCGCGGCTTCAGCCAATACGGCGCTCGATGGTCTAGGTGCTTCACCCACGAAGGCGGGGAAAGACATCACACAATGCACGAGGAGAGGGCACAGTCTACACGATGCTCAAATATGGTTACGAACACACTGCACCAACGTTTTGCCCACGTCACCAAGATTTTGCGCACGTCTGATGATTCTAGATGATCTTGGTTTCCAAGAACTCTTCCGGCAAGTAGGGTGAGGTTCGAAAAACCAGCTCCCGGTATACGTGCCAAACTTGCCTAAGTGCGTTCGGGTAGGACAATGTAGTGGCCTGACAGCTCATCGTCAAACATGCCACTCCGTTTAGCTAATGCGCTGGAGAGAGGGGGAAGAAAGAGTGGTCGACTAATCCCTCGTAATTTGCTACAATCAGTTTGTGTTTTAGCTTTCAGCCCAAACTGCAAATACCACACTGGTTCTGGTCTCTCCAAATCCATGGTGACCTCGAAAAATGGCCCAGTGGCTTCCTTATTTGCCTGGAAAGCCTTGCATGAAGTTGAGTTCACAATGGCCTTTCCTTGCTCGTGTGTTTTCTTAGTGCCGAACAGGTCCTGGAAACCCTTGTTCATGTTTTGCTGAGAAGAAATCAGCCCATCTTGACGGCACATCTTTGCTTGGAATGTGTTGAAATATTTTCGTCCAGTTCACAAACGCCTAAAGAACTTCGATAATGATGACGGTCATAACAACAGTCATAGCTGAATGCTATGACTGTATATGTAAAGGCTATGACTGTGTGGCAGCAGTGGCATTTCACCATGAAATGGCCAAAGTTCTTGAGCATCTGAAACACATGGAAAGACAGTTTGTGTGAAATTGCAGCTACACAAAGCCATATACATGTTAGAAATTCAGGGAGAAAGTAGAGTTGCAAGCTTCTTTTGTAATGTAATGTAATACGTAAAAGGAAGCCTGGCCATGCTACATGTGACATTGCTGTTATGTGGCATCGCTGAGCTTGCAGCTCACACTTACCAAAAGCAAACAAAGATATGATTGAGATACATAAGCAATACATTGAGGAAGCTTCGCTCGGTCGTAGGCAGCACTCCAATTCAGAATTAAGGTCAGATATGCTGTGGGCACGGTGTAAGGAAATAATTTAGGTGTGGACATCCTCCACATGCCACGACCGAGACCGCGTCTAGATAATGTTTGTCTTTAGTACACGTACCGACCACGGTATTGTGGCGCTATAGCGAAGGGGCACTGCGACATGGGGGCCTAAAGGGACTGAGCGTGAGAAGGCAGGGGTGCATTCCACTTTTATTTTTTTCTTGTATTTTTTTCAAAGCACGGTGTAATAACTTAAGCTAAAAATGCATGCCGCATTTTTCGTGCCCACATACTCTACTTGCGGAAAAACGCGATGTCCACCGCGGTTTTCTTGTATGCAACGGTATTACGGACGCTACGTACGCAGCTATGCCAGCTGCCAGCTGTAGTTGTGCGGGGGGCGCTGTGACGTTGGGGCCTGTATAATTACTGTATATGCTGCCTACTAGGGGCTTGGAGAGACTGAAAGTGTCGGGATATGATCTGAACGCGCCGTGGAGTGGAGTGTTCGCACCTAAATCATTTTTCTTACTTCATGGCTATGAGTAACCTACTGCCTGATGCATTATAGAAATAGAACAACACAGCCCTTTAGAAAGTTCATCGGTTATAAATAGACATTTTAAAATAACATTGTGGAAAACTGCTTTGTCTTATAGCAAACCAACTTGATAGCATTACACTATCTGTTCTAAGCTTTGAAAAAGACAAGTCCACTTGTGGAAAGTCAGCTCGAGTGTGCATCTCCTCTTAAAAGAATACTGAATGAAAATTGGAAAAACAGTCGAAACTCCGAAACTTGACTTGGGAAGATGCCACTGTTCCGATAAACGGAGTTTATTCCTCGTATTTTTGAACAGTTGGTTGTATTTTTGATGGATTATCAGCGCATGGCGGCTGCTCGCAAGTGCGAGCCGTGATATCAAACTCACCGACGCGCATGCATGATGCACATGTTCTTGTCCTCCTCTTCCTTTTCTCCACCTCTTCTTTCATCTCACTCTTTCCCTTCCACAAAAGCACTGGTGGTTTGTCCTAGTCGGAAGCATTGTTCGCTGCTGTTGCTGTTCATACCGGTTCTGGGAACCAAAGTGGAAGATGAGCGAGTCCAGAGATGCGGGCGACGGCTGGCATTGTTGGCTTGCCAGTTTCGGGTAAGTCTGACGTCACCAAACGTCACCTTCTCTAGTTCATGGCGTTGCCGGCGGCAGTTTGTGAAAAACGCTATAAATTTATTGTTTTCCTGTAGTTTATGCTTGGAATGAAGGTTGTCTCTATTGATTTCAGGATCCAATCTATCGATTTGGCTGAAAATATTGGCAGAAAGAATTTCGTTCACTATCCCTTTAAGTATTTTTTTCATTGCAAGCTACAATCTTCCCCTTCGTGCAGTTTTTTGGATTTTACTGGTTCCTTGAAACTTCACTTCCTGTGTACCAGAGAAGCAAAAAGCAAACCTTTATAACTTAAAAGTTTTATGTCTGCTCCGGCATAAGACTTTAAGGCATCAAAATTGGCAAAAAAATAACATTGCAGAAACCTCCTAACGAAGCATCCTTGAAAGCCTATTTCCATGGACTTTTTTGTCACCCTGATGTATTGGTTGTCATTGCGTAACAGCTTGTGCATTTCTTCTTGAACATTATTTCATTGTTATTTTACTTGAGCTATTAATTATCCTTTTGCACTTGGTGTTTCTTTACAGCAGTTATGCTAAGCATTTAGTTGAAGTGTAACTCTAGTGCAAAATAAATAACTGTGGTAAGGTAATAAAGGGCTCCAGAATAGGGGCCCCAGAGAAACATTTTTAAAGGCCATTGCACATGGGCAGGATGCGAACTGCATTATGGTGAATCTGCTGGGCACGCCATTTCTTGGATTGAGCAGCGAGCGTTAATACCTCCATATTGCATTGTGCCATTTTATTGAACATTACCTAGAAACCCTTTTGTAAAACTCTTTTGTCGTGTGCTGCCTTTAACTAGCACATGCAGAGAACGTTAGTTTGCCAAATTTTGACCCCACTATTCTTTAAAGTTTCTCATAATATGGGATATCGCTGGAGCCGACGTTTCGATAAGCACACCCGTCTTCTTGAAGGCTGCAACTTGAAGGCTGCAGCTTGGAAGTTGCAGCCTCGAAGAACATGGTTGGGGCAGTTTTTGTTGCTTTCTTTACTTCCCAGATATGTCGTAATGCATGCTTGCATATCTGTTCATCGCATATTAGCAGATACACAACATGTGAATTTATCAGAGAGAGCCACACAATAGCTTGCATGCATTAGGCAGCACTTTTCATGTCAACATGTGGCTTGCTTTTCTTGGTGACCTGCAACTCTAAAATTATATATATTGTTAAAGAGTACTAAGTTGGGCTAGATGGTTGGCATTCATCCCGTAATAGTGTAACTGCGCTAAGACAAGCAAAACAGAGAATGAAAAAGACAGCTTATGTGCATGCATACTGTGCTAGCTTTGCGCCAAATATGATTTATTTCGAAAATTGATTCATTCACTGTTCTTTGAAACCAGAATGAGTGTTTTCTCTACTAAAAAAGAACCAGTCAAAATGCAGCTCACGGTATTAATTTAATAATATTAATAACAATGAACGATAGTATTTATAGTATCATCAGAGTGTGCAATTGAAGTTGGAGGTTCAGTCACCAGACAGGAAACTGGCAAACTATCTCAGAAAACGAAAAATCCTGTTCAGAAACGACAAACGATGAAAGCATCAAATACAACCCACAAAATAGAGCTAGGGGAGCTTTCGAAGTTAATAAATAGGTGTAAAGTAGCCGATATCAGGAGGTATAACATGGAATAAATTGAGCAGGCTGTAAAAAGCGGCAGAAGTCTAAAAGCTGCGAAGGTAGACTTGTGCTTAGGCAGAAATCGGATGTATGCCTTTAGAAACAAGGAAGGCAATGTCATTACCAATATGGATAGGATAGCCGAGATGGCGAGGAGTTCTACAGAGAGCTGTAGAACTCCTCGCCATCTCGGCCAGGATGGTATTGTGATAAACTGTAATAGTCCGAAAGAATTCGACATTCGGAAGTAAGGAAAGCCCTAGGAGGAATGCAAAGAGGCGAAGCCGCTGGTGAGGATAAAGTAAAAACGAACCTCCTGAAAGATGGCGGAGAAATTTTGTTAGAAAAATTAGCCACCTTATATACAAAGTGTCTCTTGACGGGAAGGGTACCAGAATATTGGAAGAACGCAACATCATCTTAATCCATAAGAAAGGAGACCTCAAGGACTTGAAAAATTACAGGCCGATCAGCTTACTCTCCAAAAAACACATTGCAGCAAAAAAAAAGGCGAGGGCAAAATTTTTATGTCAGTATGCCAGGTAATCCTACCTCGGAAGTTTTTAATTTACCACCACCCGCTTTTTAGATGCTAATGGAGCTTATGGCTGGGGCTGTGTTCGTTGCTTACTACTTTCTGCGGCATCTCCCCCCCCCCATACTGCGCATGCGCATCCCCACCCCTTCTTTTCTCTCCTATGCTCTCCCCTCTCTCTCCCAAGCTGGTGCTGAATACAACCAAATGCTTCCTCAGTAGTGTGACGTACTGACCCCCATCTCACATGCGCGTTCCCCCCTCTCTCTTCAAAGTCTGTGGCAAAGGCACCAGAATACTTCCTCTGTACACACGATCACTTCGTAGCCATTGATCATAGGTTTTGCGGCATTCCACGTTTCTATGAGACAGAGTGCGTCAGCTTTGGTTATCACGGGATCATGGATGTCTCTGGCAAATGGGTTAGGGTTCAGCTGTTTAGCAGTGCTATAGTTACGGTCACCGGCAGCATTCACGGCAGTAGTCACCGGCATCAAGCGATGTTCACCGGCAGTAGTAGTCAGGTAGAGCTTCTGAATGTTGTTGCTCCGGCTTAAGGTGATGTAGATGAGTTTCTGTAGGTGCCGTTCATCTCTGCGCTGCTTCACATCCATGCATGGCTCCGTTTAGCGGAAGAAAGATTCTGCGATGTTTAGCTGCACTGAATGCTGCAATAGAATTGACAAAGGTGCAATCAAATTTATGCTGTCTAAGTTATACACAAGGCAGCAGGGACTGCACCCCAGATTAGAAATAAAAAAAAAATAAGTAGCCTGCCACTCTGTTACCATAGTGATAAAAAAATAATTGAACAAGGGGTGTTGGTGGAGCCCCTGTTTAGAATAAGTGAACTTCCATCACTGTCACAATGATGATAGCGATGTCCTGGCGCAATAATGTTTTGTCCACTTGGTAAAAAAATCATCCGCTCTAAAGACATTCCATCTTTAATGATTATTTTCATCACTTCAAGCCTCAATCTTCGACTTAACTTTTGCCTTGGTTTCATTACTGAAGCATTACATAATGGCAATTAAACAATAACTGGCATTATGTTGTAATATAGTCCAAATTGCTGGAAATAATGACTGAGAGGTAAGATTGGAATGGTGAGATGCGTACAACTGCCTAGCTATTCGGAGCCATATCAGGAGCAGTGCTAACAGCTAACGCTGGTAAAAAGGGCTTAGTATTGCCATATAATACGAAGTTTCTTAGTAAGTTCCCATTTCACCTCCATTGAAAATTGGATTAATCTCAATATGAAGCTTAAGGTGACGTAGATGAGTTTCTGTGGGTGCCGTTCATATCCGAGCTGCTTCGCATCCATGCATGGCTCCCTTTAGCGAGAGATGGTGTAATCTTTTTTAATTTTAAAACCAGACAGGCTTCATATTGAGATTAATCCAATTTTCAATGGAGGTGAAATGGGAACTTACTTAGAAACTTCGTATTTTATGGCAATACTAAGCCCTTTTACCAGCGTTAGCTGTTAGCACTGCTCCTGATATGGCGCCGAATAGCTAGGCAGTTGTGCACGCATCTCACCATTCCAATCTTACCTCTCAGTCATTATTTCCAGCAATTTGGACTATATTACAACATAATGCCAGTTATTGTTTAATTGCCATTATGTAATGCTTCAGTAATGAAACCAAGGCAAAAGTTAAGTCGAAGATTGAGGCTTGAAGTGATTAAAATAATCATTAAAGATGGAATGTCTTTAGAGCGGATGATTTTTTTACCAAGTGTACAAAACATTATTGCGCCAGGACATCGCTATCATCATTGTGACAGTGATGGAAGTTACTTATTCCAAACAGGGGCTCCACCAACACCCCTTGTTCAATGATTTTTTTATCACTATGTTAACAGAGTGGCAGGCTACTTTTTTTTTTTTTTCATTTCTAATCTGGGGTGCGGTCACTGCTGCCTTGTGTATAACTTAGCATAAATTTGATTGCACCTTTGTCAATTCTATTGCAAGATTCAGTGCAGCTAAACATCGCAGAATCTTTCTTTGTGTTGCACAATATCTTCACACTTTTCAGCTTTGGTGGTAAAAAATTTCAAAAGAAAACTACAGGTTTTCCCGCTCACTTTAATCCAAGTGCCAGCCTAAATAATCTGCATGCCATTGAAATAATCTGAACGCCGAGCTATTTAATGCATGTGCCAAACATTTAATCCAAGCGCCAACATATTTAATCCAAGCACCAACTCACTCAGGCCGCATGCCATTGAGTTTAATCCAAGTGCCACCGTGTTTATTCCAATTGCCAATGACATTAATTCAGGTGCCAGTCAGTTTAATCCATGCGCTAGAAACACACAGTTAGCCACTATATATAGTATAAATGTCAGAATAACGTAAACATGGCGTCACAGCAAGACCTTTTCCCTCTGCTATACATGGTAGTGCTTATGAAATGAAGTGCGCAGTGCGACTTCCCCTTAACATTTTGGTGTCATAGCTTCAAAATAAAAAAAAAAACAGTCAGTAATTAATTGCATTTATGGGTACTTGAATGTATTTGCTCATAGAGTCCATGTTAGTCTTTATTGCATTGCTACTGCTTCATTCCGCTTAACCATCTACACCATCGCATATGCATAGATTCGTGTCGTCTGCTGAGCAGACGGCATTTGGCTACGTCTGCTCAGACCAGGGAGAACAGTGACCGACAGATGATATTCATTTGTTCTTGAAATCAGAAATAACCACTTAAAAATACCAAACTTGCATTTATTAGGGTTCATGTGGAAATAAGTTGTTATAGAAGCATCAAAGTAGATACTCCAGTTTTTATGTAACAGACGACGCTTAGTGTAGCTGAAGCGTGTTTACTTGAAACATGTGTTTTCATACGGGAACATTTTCAGACGAAGAGAGAGCTTTGCTTGAAGCCATGGCTGGACGCAAGCGAGGACCGCACTTTAAGAACCCCAACAAACCTCGTCGAAAAAACAGCAGAGTATCGGTGGTCGACAGGGCTAGGATTGTGGACGTTTACAGGCGTGGCGGTGACTTGAAGCAACTAGCCGACGCTCTAGGCGTCAACATTAAAACAGCAAGATCGATTGCCGCTACCGACAGAGAAACATCAAAGCATGGTCGGGGTTCAAAAAGGAAGTTTGGAGATGACGTCGTGAGTACTTTGAGACGAATTGTCGACGAAAACTGTACATTTACATTGAAGCAAATATAGGAGGCCCCAGGAGAAAGAAATGCCAGGAGTAACAATCACTGCAAGCAGAGTCGACCGCTTGCTGGATGCCCACTGCTACTCGATGAAGCTAGTGACGCAGAGGCCCACAGATCGCAACCGTGACGATATCAAGCACAGCCGCATGCTGTACGCCCAATGGCTGCAGACTGATGGACCGCGTGTTTGCCGCTTCTATTTGGATGAGACTAACTTCAATATCTGGTGTTCCAGGAACTTCGGCAGGGCAGCTAAAGGACAACCAGCTGTGCACATGACCACAACGACAAAGGGAGTGAACTTGAACATTATAGCATGCATGTTCGCAAATGGAGTTATTCACTGTACTGTGGTGGACAAAGTTCATTAGGTTGTTTTTAATGACTTCCTCAGTGATGTTTCGGCCCCGTGTAGAACGTGATGAGCCAAATACCGAAGCTGTATTCCTTCTTGATAATGCACCTGCTCACGCTCGAGCAGAACAGGCGGCTTTGGCTAACTCCATGCACTCTATTAAGCGCCTGCCAGTTTACAGTTCCTTCTTTAACCCTATAGAAGAAGCCTTCTCGAAATTCAAGTCACACGTGAAGGCCTACCTGAGCGAACGTCGTAATTTAGTTTTAGTGACACCTGCAAGGCATGACTAAAAAGGAGCACAGGCGTTCTTTACTGCTGGATGCGGCTCGCCACTCCATGCAACAAATACAGCACGTGGACTGCGCGGCCTTTGATCGGCACAATTTCTCTTTCGTGCCTGCCGCTTTGCGTGAAGATGACTTGTGAACATCCGTCTTTGAGCCCTATGAGACAGTTCTGTTTTAATAAATACACTAGCCTGTGCCTATGTTGCATTTCTTGAATAATTAGTAGTAATCACTCTTGTTTTCCTGTATATGTATATGTATATATGTGTATACACACACACACACACACACACACACACACACACACACACACACACACACACACACACACACACACACACACATATGTGTGTATGTGTGTGTGCGTGTTTGCGTGCGTGTGTGTTTGCGTGCGTGTGTGTGTAGAGATCGAGAGGGAAGACAGAACAAATAATTTAGTGATTGCACTGAATCCGCAAGCTTCCAATGTGCGATGAGAGGCATAATGCCGCGCAAAAAAACACGTACACACAAAAAAGAAAACTAGGCCCAAGGTCAGTTGCGTGTTATTATCATTTTGTTTCCTCTGTGTTCGTTTCATCGCATTCGTCAAGTACGCCACAAAACTAACGAACTAAACAAACAATGAGTACTGTTCGTATCATTGGAGACATTTAACTTTGTTTGAATAAAAAACTAAGAGCATACAATAATGTAAAATAAAACTTCTATTGCCACATCAGGATGATCAGTTTACGTTTTATGTTCACTACAGGAAAAAAAAACATATTGGAATTATCTCTAATTCACAGCGCGTGCCGCGCAGCGGCTTCCTAATTTTTTGATTATTTAGCTGTCTTTGACCCATCACTGCCCGTGACCATGCTTTTAATCTCTTAGTATGCGTTCCGGCACTCCAATAAACATAGTGTGTCGTTCGCATTACATGACCTGTCCTGGTCATGTAATGTTGTAGTGTGTACCAAAGCCAATTATGAGCTTCAGTGACGGATACTGAATTTCATTGCACTGTAAAATATTCAGTAATATGTTCCTGCGTTTTTTTCGTTTTCATTAAATTTATTTCACCTGGGCCAAGCACTCATTATACAAACTTGCGCCTAGCAAAGTATAAGCACTTTAAACATGGCTTAAGCAAACCACAGCAGTAATTTTTTTCAAGAATACTATCGGCGCATGCAAATAATAATGAGTGATTCTACCTTCCGACTATTGTTTTTTATACTGTAGGAACTGCATTTCAATTGCACTGCCATTTTTACGCCCCGTATTCTGGTTTTTGTGCGTGGATTAAACTGACTGGCACCTGAATTAATGTCATTGGCAATTGGAATAAACACGGTGGCACTTGGATTAAACTCAATGGCATGCGGCCTGAGTGAGTTGGCGCTTGGATTAAATATGTTGGCGCTTGGATTAAATGTTTGGCACATGCATTAAATAGCTCGGCGTTCAGATTATTTCAATGGCATGCAGATTATTTAGGCTGGCACTTGGATTAAAGTGAGCGGGAAAACCTGTAGTCGAGGTTATGTGTATTCTCAGCATTGTGATAGCCTCGTGATTCTAACATGAGAGTCTAAACAAACTTAGTGGTAAAAGTCTCACCACCAACCATGACAATGTGTAAGAGATGCAAAGAAAGCTGTTGACGTTGAAACAGAAGTCGTGGCGACGTGTGTCATAAATGTGACTTTTGACGTGTTAAGAAGAGAAGGAAATAATATGAAATGCAAGCATGTTTGTGCATAACAAAGAAACAAACAACTTTAAAATAATATTTTCGTATGAATAATTATGTCATACATGGAGCTTTGGTCGTTCATTAGTTCCCTAAATCTAGCACGCCACTTGGAAGATTAGTGACAGCAATGCATTTCTAATGATTTTAAAATGGCTCTTTCTCTCGTGCTGCTGTTATTGCTTGTGTGCAGGGTGTGCGTTGAATGCTGGAAAACTGAATGAGATTGTTGATGTCCTCAACGCGCGTAACTTCCAATGACAATTAAAATTTTGATTTCATATTTAGTATTACATATGAAAAAACAGCACATACGAAAAGGCATTTCTAGAAAAAAAGCTTCACTGCATTACCAGTATGTTTTTTCTGCATAACAGAGTGGATATTAACTTCCCTGTATATTAAACTTTCATGGATATTAAATATCCATGGAAGTTTGGCTATTCCACTTTTCTGGAGCGGCATGCAATGCATATATATTGGAACATTCTCGAGAGTGTTTCATGCATAGACAGTGTGTTTTTACTCCTGTGTGGGCAGGTTTGTACATAACTAAGCATTGCATAGTCACCTCCAAATATGTAGAGAAAAAGAAATATTAATGTGATAGCATTGAAGAGCCCTTTTCGCAGAAATTCTGGCGTCAGTGTGGGCATCTATAGCCGGGAGTGAGAAATCTTGTCCGGGGCTGAAAAAATTGAGAAAGATGCAAATGAAATTGATAAATATTTCTGGGTTTGAGTGAAGATCGAACCCAGGCTGTTTGTGTGGGAAGTAGAGGTTCTACCATGCAGCCACATGTCTGTTTGGAAATACAATGTAAGTAACTTTCTCCTATTGGAAATACAGTGAAAATAACTTGGTTTACAAACGTATGTGTCTTGCATACAGGCTTCACAATACATACAACATGTAATATTGCAGTAATATTGCATGATGCAAGCATACATTGCCATTGGGCATCAGAACATCTGATTATAGTAACAGGTTCATGTTTAAAGCCAGCCACCCATTACAAAAGGCAGACTCACTGCTGCGCGTATTCTCGTAAGACCACACAGAATACAGCCATATGCAAAAGCTTCAATGACACAAGCCAGTTTCAACTTTATCATTTACATTGTAGTAATCCACAATTTAAACTTCTAGAGTAACATCAAACAATTAAAGTACGCACTAGGCGGTTAGAGTATGCATTAGGGACAGGATAGTGCTATCGTGGTTAACTCCTGAAGGTGAAGCTCAAGGGTCACTCAATTTTATATAAAAGTTTGAAGCAACCCTCTGCACTTATTGGGGAAAAAAAAAGTGGTTATCATTTTCAGCTTCAGCATATATTCCTTTAGTATTGTTTGACCTTTTCAAGCTGCCTTGTTTTTTTCTGTGCAGAAGACGAGCATTCCAGCTGCCCAGCAACTCTAGAGGATGGCGAGTCACAGCAGCGGCAGTCCCTTTGCTCTTCTATTGGTGTCTCTGAAACTGAAGGACCATCTGATGTGAAAGTTCAGAAGAAAGCCCACACAGGCAGGCAACTCTATGAATGCCACCTGTGCCCCCGAAGTTTCAAACGGAGTGGCCTTCTCAAGAAACACCTGTGCGCCCACACTGGCGAGCAACCATATCAATGCCCTTCATGTGGTAAGGGCTTCTTGTACAGGGGCTCGCTTATGGTCCACCTGCGCATCCACACAGGAGAGAGGCCATATCAGTGCTCTTACTGCCCGCAAAGATTCAAGCAACAATCCCACCTAATAGCTCAACAACGCATCCGCACAGGCGAGCGCCCATTTAACTGTCATTTCTGCACCCAAACTTTTTCATTGAGTGCCTCTCTGAAGAGACATCTGCGTACTCACTTTCAAGACTCTGGTGAATGACCATATTGGTGCTCCTTCTGCTCACAATGCCTTTCGCTTCAATGCACCATATCAAATCACCTCCGTACTCATAAAGGCAAATGACGATAGAGTTGCACTGTCTGCTCAAGGTCTTTCGTGCAGACGGCTCACTTGAAAAGTTACATTTTGAAACACACACACACAGGGGAGAGATAGTGCAGCTTCACTGCCTGCTCTAAGTCTTTTGTTCAGCAGAGTGACTTGCAAAATCACGTGGAGACACACACAGGTGAATGACTGTACAGCTGCACAGTTTGGTCCGAGTCTCTTGTGCAGAGTGCTCGCTTGAAAAGTCCTATGAAGATATGTGGAAAGAAAACACCATTCAGCTACACTGTCTCTGCAAATTCTTTCGTGTTGAGTACTCACTTGCAAAGTCAGATTAACACACAACATTGTGTTCCCAGCCTGCCTTGTATGAATTGTAGCTTTGTTTGGATTTCAGTTCCTCATGTAGTATTCCGCTTGCCACTCTCACGCATTTTCAACAGAAACCATGTGCTCTTATATACTGAAGTGACACATGATATTGAAGCATCGTCATAGACGTTGGGGAGGCTTCTTTTAAAAGAAATTAGGTATCTTTGCTGTCATCTGATTTATATAATATTCTATGAAATGGTTGTATGCATGGAAGTGATAAACATTTAGCTTAAATACTATATGTTCGTCTTTTCACTAGGGCATGTACGTATTTACCAAATATAGTCGTGCCTGCGTGAAAACTCCTAAACTTTATTTATTTCTACGCCAAGGAAACTGGTAGCACGTTGTCCTTTTTTGTTATTTGCATAGAGTTGTTGTCAAGCTTTCTGTACTGAAATAGGATCCCCCGTTGATGTTTGTGCTGTCTTTGGATGCACTGCTACTTTAGTGAACACATCTCTTAGTTGTATTGAATTGCTTAGCTCAAGGGAGAGAGCTTAATTCCCAGCCACAGTGTCAGCATCGTGATCGCTTTTTCTTCATGAAATTAAATGAAAGCTTTTGCTGTCATTAGTCATATTCAGTTTTACCTTTATGTTTTTATAAACCAATTACCGAGTCAATCTCACTTCACCTAAAGGAGGTGCAACAATAGGATGAAATGGCAGCATGGTCGCCTTCGCAAGGGATTAAAACATTGGAACATGTTTGGCAAGATTATTAGATCATCCTTCTTTTTGTTTCTGTAAAATACTATTGTTGCATTATTCTTTTATTTATACCAATGAAGAAATAAGAAAATTGGTAAAGCGTTATCGCTCTAGTTGATGGAAATCGCTAAGTATTTTCTAAAATTGTTTTTTGTATCGATCTACTTAGCAGACTGGAGGAAAATAATTATTCTTGCCTTGCATTGTCCATGTCAGTACCCTTGTTATTGCTGGTGTAACGATGTTTTTGGCAGTTTTCATAAAGCTTAAACTTCACTTTACGCTTTTGTTCTTGTTTTCGAAGCCATACATTCTTTCAAAAATAAAATAAAAGCTGCTTTGCCAGTTATCACTTTTTGTTTATTATCTCAATTTCTCTCTGTCTAAAGTCGAAAACATAAATTTCTAGGAGGTACTTCATGTTCATTACGGATTATAATCTTTTTTCGTGTGTGTATTTGCATTTGATATTTTACTTGACGATTATCACAACTTCATGAAATCATTGCAGACAGGTGAAGGCTAAGATGCTTCGTCATATTAGTTTAGTATACCACCCTCAGGGGTGCTTGCAAGTATGCAGGCATTTGGTGTGTTGCGACACCACGGACTCGAGCATGTATAGGTTGGGCCCACCTGTTGCAGCCCAATCGCAAAGAAAACTAAAAAAGGCTATCCTGGTATATAACTAGCCTTTACTTTGACCTTAAGGTGCCCTTTGTGGAGGAAAAGAACTATAGCGCCATCGTAACTTCGAGGTCAACACGCTTTTGACAAGGCATTAAGTTAAAGAAAAATGAGAAACCTTAGTTGTTTTCTAAATGTTCTGAACCTGAATGCATGAAGGTGCCTGGAGATCTGCACAGCACTAGTTGTGCTTAAAAGCAACTATTATACAATATGAATTTTTGAAGTAGGGACTCAGCGCAAAAACCTTTAAACTATTTTCATTTTGGGAAAGCGAGTAGTCCTTCCAGCTACGATAACATAATATTCACTACAAGGCAATGTAGCGAACACGAATGGGACAAAATATAAATTTCTCACTGATATTTTGTTGTAACGAGCATGCAGTGTATATGCAATGTATGCGTAATATAATGCCTAAAAAGAAGCATTGTTATGCTATACATCATATTGCCCGACAATGATGCAGACTCTGACGTGTTATGTTGCTGGTGTTGGCATAGTCACGACTGTGAACTTCGCCATTTTCTCTGAGTGGTGTTGATGGATGGAGGGGCTTAGTGAGGAACTGAAACCAGCTACTGTAACTTATTTGTTGCAATACTTATTTAACAAAATTCTTGCAGAAACATGTTCACATCAAATAGGTGTGCAGTTATCTCATCATCACAAGTATCGTTCCTTGCTATTATTTACTAGTTCCTTGAAGCCTAAGTTCAGTGTACCAGAAAAGCGAATGCAGACTATGTGAAGTTTTCTGTACTGTCTTTTAAGGCGTCAAACTCAGCACAGAATTTGCACAGCTGGCGTAAATATGCAAATGTTCATTGTCAGTATAAAATTGCATAAAGCTCCCAACACATCATCTTTGAGGGCTTGTGATCGCGGCCTTTATATGCCGCTCTGATGTATTGGTTGTCTCTGTGTTGCATTTTGTTTGTTTCTTTTTGGCAATTCTTTCATAGTTATTCTGTTGGAGCCATTTGTGAACCTTTTGCATGTATGTGTTCCTTTTGAGTGATTGTGTCGAGAATGGCACAAAGTAAACAACGGTGGGTAGTTAATAGACGGTTTTAGAATGTTGGCCCTAAAAGAAAAAAAATAGCATACCCCCAATCAGTTTTATGTAGAACACTCTGGGAGTAATCATCCTTGCTCCATTTTTTGCCTTTGAGTCGAGCGTTACTAAGTCAACTGACCTGTTTTTTTATTAGTGCAGTAGTTGCATGCACATCACGGGCTTATAAGGATCGTCACCTGGCATGTAAAATGTCAAACTGGCATTTAAAGAGTAGTGTATGCCCTGACATGACGTAAGCACTCATTTTAGACCACAGACGTCAGTATTATAAAAAATGAAGTGCATTTATGGTGCGATGATGTGAATACCATGTGTAATCTAACGTGTTCCTCCAAGTTCAAGCGATGCTTGAATATAGCTTGCTGAACTATATAAATACAAATGCAAAGTTTGTTGAACTGCTATTAAAGCATAGCCAACACTGAGACTAATATTGTCGTTAATCTGACATAACACCTGTATCTTGGAAGTACATACTCATTGTTTATTGCTGATGTGTTGAAACCCTCACAGTACCTCAGGTTCACTTAGAAATGCTTCATACTTAATATTTTCAAAAGCTGCTGCTCATGTGCGAGATGCAAACTACATTAGTTTGTTTCCATTCGGCACACCAATTTAAGGCGAGACCCAACACCTCCTTATTGTGTTGCGTCATTACTATATTGAACAGGGAGCAGAAAGCCCTATTCTAAACCTTAATTCTCGCGTATTAGCGCATGCAGAACACGTTAAAGAGGCCCTCCAACACTATTCAACACCCAGGTTTTATTCGTTGGTTGTGTAAGCTGAAGTACAGACTAACGCAACAAAAACTGCAGTGATAACAGCGCTCAGTCTGATTTTTTTTTTTTTACATAGATCAAAATATAACGAAAAAAATGGTGTACTTCAGTGCGATTTTCGCGGGGTCACTTGGCCACATTTCACTCGCCCGTGACGTTGGAGGGCTGCCCCAATGAAGTAAGCTGGAAGCGCCTACGTAGGGGAAGCTCGCACCTCATCGTTGCTTGCTTTTTTTTTTTTTTTTTTTCAAACTAATGTTGACTTTGTCACAGTAACATACATAGTGCCTGATGCCTGGCTTACCAGATCGTGAGCAGGAGTTATTGTGTCGAAGCGAGGTATTATCTGCTGTTTTTTACAATATCTTGAGTCACTCCCTATTTTCTGCTGTTTTTCACAACATTTCGAGTCACTCCCTCCTCTTATTTTGAAAAAGGAACTTGTGGAACGACCAGGACGGTGAAGTACTGCTGAGCCTTTGCGCGTTGTTCGGTGAGCCGCTTGACGAACAACAAGAGTACACTGCGCCCCTTCGACAGCGCACGTGTGGAAAGAGACAGCTCACCAACTCCCAAAAACAAGGAGAGGGAAGAAAGAGAGAGGTACGCAGGCCGAAAATACAGTGGCGAAATGGCAGCTGGTGTCTCTGTCGGGCTTTGTAGCCGCAGTGATCTTTGTTCCTGCAGTCGCGTCTGTTCAGGGTTCGATGAACAAGCACAGATAAGAAAAATGGAACAGATTAGTAATGTCAGTTTTGATCCTGCACCACGATCTGTTTCAACGTTACGTTTATTCAATTACATGGCGGCAACCTTCCGGCGTCATTTCCGCCCGCAAAGTTCTGGCAAGCGCCGCTACGTGGTAATGCGGTCAGCAGCGGTGTAGTGACTTTATTGCGTGAATAAAATACTAAATCATTTGATATCGTTGTTTAAATCTATGCTAAAATTATCTGCAGCTATCGGCCTCTGCAAATCACAAATAAAAAATAGGTGCTTCAATAGTGCTGGAGGGTCCCTTGAAGGCGTACACTTAGCGAACGTAGGTGCAAGTGTCTTTTTTAAGGGCATAACTTCAAGTCTGCAGCTGTTAAGGCGCACCCTTCAATAAGACGGCTCGTTATGGTTTATTAGTTTATGATTGATTCATATAACAGATGCGTCATATTGCATACTCTTATATGTCTTCACAAATTTTGTTTGCAGATGCACATCCTGTGTGTATTTGAAAAATAGTCATTCTATAGCTTACAGAAATTATGGAGCACTTTTTACGTCAATATGTTGTTTGCTTCTCTGGATGTTATTAATCATTTTCACTCTAAAATTAAGTATTCTGTGTTGGCGTTGAAGCAGAATATGGCTTGTTTAAGAAAATTTTTTTTTGTCTTGTAGACCTAGATTACTGTTTTCCTGCAAGAAAGGAACCAGTCGATATGCAACTCGTGGTATTATTTTGAATTCTTTAAGTCACTTCCAGTTTTGTAACATACTGTAAAATACCCTGCAAGCAACCAGTTTTGCACAAATGCCCAGTGTATAAACTTCCAAAATTCTGAAAATTTTCAAGGCCCACCCATTCCAAGAGCTTCCATTATTCAAAACATTTTCTTTATTGTGGCCATTATAAGTTGTCTAAGCACAAATTTGGAATATTCACTCCCTTGTAGGGGTAGGAGAAAGACTTATTGGGGATTGGGGTCAGGATAATGCAGAATGAGAGTGAACACTTCTTAAAGGAAAACCCAATGGTAGTAAGGCTTTTGTCAGACATGTTTTGATAAATTGCATGTGCAACCGCAATTGGCACACTTCTCATGGCGACCATGGGCTGCTCAATCGATTCCTACTCCCTTGCCAAGATTACCAAAGCTCTCGAGTGGCCGCGCAAGTCGCGGAAGGGTGTAATGTTCGGAAAGAATGAGTTGAGTGATGATTATTTGGTGCTGTGTAGCCCATCATATATCATGGTAAAGTAAATATGTTTTCTTCAATACTATAGCCCTACCTCGAAGGCTTCAATTGGCTACAATATCGGTTTTTACCGATTTGACCAGATAAGCGTTCATATCGATCTAGAATAACACAATTTTCAATGAAAGGGGATGGGCACGTCCACGGTATTTTCTGGTAATGGGGAACTCTTTTGGGCATTTCCGAAGGTTATTCCTGCTCCTGTTATGTCTCCGAATAGCAAGGCAGTGCTCCACAGCCCATCTTTCCAATCTTTCTGTGCACATTCATTGTTTCCATCAGTTTGAAGCCATCTATGTTATAAAAACTACCATTTGATCTTTGTTATAATCAATATGTAATGCTTAATTTTTGAAATTAAGACGAGTTCAATGGAAGATGGAGGCTTGAAGTGATAAATCATTAAGCATGGAATCTTGCTGGAGCCAATGTTATTCATATGGACGAGTGTTTTCTTGTCGGGACGTCACTGCCATAATGAAGGAAAGTCCAGTTTGTCTAAACATTGGTTCCAGTGACATCGCCCATTCAATGATGTTTCTTCACTTTGTTGTTAAAGGGTCACACTTTCTGCTTGTTTTAATCTATGGGGCAATCACTGCTAGGTATTGCATAATCTTGGACAGCATAAATTTGACCCACCTGTATCATTTCTATTGCGAAATTCAGTGTAGCTAAAATCTCCACTTCCCTCTCTTTCTGTTGTGTGGTGTTTTCAACTTAAGCTTTGGTGGCAGACAATTTTAAAAAGCAAGTAGGGGTCATTCGTATTCTCGATGTAGTGGTAGCCTCCTGATTTTAATGTACAAACTAAACAAACTTATTGTGTTCAGTTTGATTAAATTGCCACATAATGAACTTCAGTACTTGTAATGCCTCATTTCTACACAAGTTCTGTGTACTCGGTAGATGTTGGTTGCACTACTTTATATTCATTTGTAAACTACACAGAAATGCCTTTCTTGCTACTCTTTCAGTTGTTGAAGTTCTTTTTCGAATCCAAAATATGAATTGAACACAAGGCACAGGCTTTATGTAATGAGGCTGGAAAATTGCAAATGCTGCTTACTAGTTTATTCAACATTCACAACCACGGTCCTGTTAACTGCTGGAAAAAAAAATGTCAAATTCTCCCTTCAGTATAATTTACAGTTTTCTCGCTGTAGCTCTTGGTTGCTTTCACTTATTGGCATACTGCAGTCTATCAATGTGCGCTGTTTCATCAACTGCATAAAAATAGTAACCTTACAAATAGACCCTGGCATGTCCAGGATGAAGTCACAAAACCATGTGGAATTGGCATGCGTTGTATGCCAGAGAATTGTCACTGGCTAAGCCTCTCATAAGGATTCTGCATGTCTGTTTAGATTCCCCCTATCAAATGCATGCATGCTAATTATTGATCATTGCAACTGTAAAGTGTGTCTTTGTCTGTGCACCCTCGTACGTACTATACGGCAAGCTTAACACAAACGCTCCGCAGCACTTCCTGAAACAGTTTGATTGATGCTTGTGCCATGTAGCTTTGAGTTCTGTTGGTGAGGTGTTACCCATCCTTGCCAACATATTATTCAAGCATACCGAAGCATTATCTCGGCAACCGCGTTCAGTGCTTGGCGGCTGGCATCAAACAAACTTGTCGAGGTCCAGAAATGTTTTGGGACTTTGGTGTTAAAGGGGCCCTTAAACACTTTCTCAAGTAACCATGGAATGGATTCACAAATTCAACACTGCAAAATTTTTAAAAATCCTCCCACTACGACGAAGTTACATAGATTTGTCGCACGCTGCAATTGCATTCTCTCTTCTCTCGTCCCGACGAAAGCACTGAAAGCTAAGCACGGAGGCATGGCAGGGGCAAAGGAAATGGTAAATCACGCGCGCCTCGTGACCTAGGCACTTTTTTTTCTCTTCTTCTTCTCATTCTAATGCATGGCTTTTTCAGTGTGATCGTGCACGTATGCGTAAAGAAGTCGTTGCCTTCCAATGTGAACCCTGTAACGACCGAGTGCGTTATGTTCAAATCAGCCAAAGCTGATAGATGGCCTTCTACGAGTGATTTTGGAGGTTCTTCCGCCATTTGTCAAGAAAAGAGAAAGCCACTTTTAGCTACTTTAATAATTTTTTGTGAATTCCAGGTTGTGTGCTGCGCTATAATATTTGGCTCGCTAGTTCTCGGGAGCCTTTTCTGCTGATCAGCAGCATTTCCTGACCATGCTCAAAAAGTGCTGCAGGGCCCCTTTAAGTTTGCTGATGAGTTTACGTTCTATGTTACTCTGAAACTTTCTATGATTATTTGGTAATATACAGAATGAGGACCTTAATACTTTCAAAACATGGTGTCTACTCCTTTGTACTTTCAGAACACTATTGTGTATTAGGGTTGAGTGCTCAAGAGATGACACTGGGTGCTTTCATTGTTTTTGCTGCATGTTTTCACATTTTATATAATTTTCTTGCTGGTTCTGTTTGCTGTTTCTGCAGCTTTTTCTTTCTTTTTGGTCTGTGCTGCCTAATTAATATTACCTTATCTGCTCTTTTGCAGGCTTTGGTTGCCATTAATTATGTAAAGCTGCAGGTCAAGTCCAGTAGGACATTTTAGACAAGCATCCTTCCTGCTGCAGAGGATCGCAGCCTTGGGTATTCTAGGAAAAGCATGAAGGAAATTTTTCAAATGCGCCATTCTTTTATATGAAACGTTTTTGTCAGTGATGATTTTTAATAATTCTTGTAGAAGCACATTCTTTTGCATTCGTGGTAACTTGCGAATCTTTATTGCATAACGTCTTACAGACGCCTAAAAGGGGCAACGCACTCAGATATCAATTTCCAAGTTCTGCATTACAAAGCTTTCCGCATGTCATTCTGTGATTAAAGTGGCGTGAGCAGTCAATTCAACTTTCAAATTCAAACTAAGAGTGGATGACAAAGAGAGAAGTTACATTTAGCATTTTATTTAGCTAGTCCAGACTCGTTCAGCATCCATTCATAAAACAGCCTTCACACGATAGTGGAAGCAGTCATTTATAGTGGCCTTCCAATGAATGTTCGTGGCCGAATTTTAGTGGCTGAGTGACTCGCCCTAGTTCAGCACTAGTGACTGTATTTCTATAGGAACACCAAATAGACATTTGTTGCATCAGAGTTGCTGAGAAGGTATGCAGAGCGACAGTATGCAGAGCGAGAGCAGGCACAAGCGAAGGATGGACAATTGATGCAGGAAGAGTATGGTCAGCAGCAGCAGACCTGACTGGAACAGCCTTCCTCGCAACAGTATTCCCAGTCGAAGCGCGTGCAGTCGGGGTATGCTCAACTGCAGGACACAAGGCAGGATCAGGCACCTCAGGAGCAAGGCCAGCTGGCACGCTAACTTGCAGGACAGTAATTGTATTGGTCAGTCACGATGTGCCTTGATAGCCGGTCGACTCAATAATAGTGCCGCAGACCCACACGAAGTGTCTACGACGTCCGCACCGGGAACATGTCCGGCTGCTGGTATGGCAAGTGGCAAAGTAGGCCCAATGCAGCATCGCGCCGCAGTGGTATCAAGCACCCGCGCGGGCCAGCGGCGAAGCTGGAGAGGAGGTGTCCGCAGCAGCGGAGGGCGAGATGGTGCATGCAGGAGAATGAGAAGTCTCGCCAGCGCCATTTTGCAACGAAGGTTGGGGAAGCCGGCCACTATTTGGCCTAGCATCTTGAATAATTCGGCGAGCCGAGCCGCCATCTCGAATCGGATGCGAAGACACCGCGTCGACTTGTGCTCCAGATAACTGTAGCAACGCACGTCTGACGCGCTCCTCTTTTTTCGCTACGTCAAGCGCCTTCTGTAGGAAGAAGTTCTTGCCCATCTTGAAAAAAAAATTCTTTGGAGCTGCGGCTAAAAGAACAAGTTTTTATTAGGGTGAACTTGTGCCCACGAGTCTAATGACTATGGTCGTCGAAGTACGAGTAGCTGAGTTGCACAGATCCAACTGTCTTCTTCTTCCTCGTAGCCTGAGCGCACGAATGCGTGGCGCATGCCAGCCGGGTCTTGCCTGGTGCTCATGCCACGATAATTGCGGCGGGCTACTTGAACGTGGCCAACCTGTCGTGGCAATATAGCTGATTCTCTTGTGAAAAAAGATATATTTTAAGCATTACAGCATCGTTTTCTTTTGCCTTTACATTTGTATGAAAATGGGGAAGGTGATTCTAATGCATAATAATAAATATTATGTGATGCTTTATTTTAATTTCCTTGTCTTGACTATGTATTTATTGGTGTGGTCACTGTTGAAACTGTTGCTTTGTTGCAAATGTTACTGTTGATTGGTTTCGTTGTGTCTTTGGTTGTGTCTCAAAGCAACAGGTAATTTGAGAATAATTTTTTCAGGGTGATAATTAAGTAATACATGGGGCCTTGGCTGTTCATAGCTGTTCATAGCTGTTCTCAGTTCAGCATACCACTTCGAACATCGAAAACCATGTACTTCTGCCTTAATAGTGGTTACGCTAGTGATTGCTTGTGTACTGGGGGGGGAGGGGGGGGGGGGTTCAAAAGTTTCTAGGACGGGCTGCCATAGGAATACATGGGATAGGAACCTGGGAACTTTTGACCTCCCCCCCTCCCCTCTGTACATACAGGGTGTGGTGAATAGTGGGAAACAAAAACTAGAACATTGATGGGCTCACAACAGGTAGCTTGTGAGAAGAATTTGGGATATTGGTTTTATTCATGTTTGGTATTGAACAGTAAAGTATAATACCATAAAATTTTGAGCACGCGCCCCGGTTCTTTCGTTTCGGGAGATTTGAGATATGCTTCACGGGGGGGAGGGGGGGGGACTGAGCAAACGCCTGCCCTACCCTCCTGTCATTTTTTTACAGTGAAAGCTGTTATGAGATCACTTTTCAAGTCACGGGCAGTTTTTGTCCGCCGCCGCTGTTGTTTATAGCCACATCGGGCGAAATTAGAAAAAAACCTTGCTTTAATGATACAGTAGGGCTTGAACCGGAGTCCGCTGAGTGCCAGCGTAATATTCTAGCACTGAGTTATGCCGTAGCTGGTAACTTGTCAAACTTGCCTTAGGCAGGCATGACCTAGCACTAATGGCACAGTGGGGCTCGAACCCGGGTCTGCTGGGTGCCAGCTTAGTATTCTACCACTGAGCTACACCGGTGCTTGTGACCTGTTGTCAAACTTTCCTTAGGCAGTCTTGATGTTGAGAAAGCGATTGCGTTAATATGACTTATAAAGCGCTTCACAACAGCGGAATAACAAACGGTCGTCGCACAATGCGAATAGCGTAACGAGTGGGCCGTCCAATGTTCCAAACCATCATTAGAGATGGTTCTTGTTCCCCTATTAACTGTGGCGCATACTCACTTCACCCATAATTGGTCGTCAGCCACTGCATGGACAATTGGCACAAAATTTCTTGCTACTGTTTAACAGATATCACGCTTCTCAGAAAATCGATGAAAAATAGCATAGTGAATGCTGGCCTACTACCCAAAAGTTTATTATTAATGCCCTCATTGGTACCAAGCAAGTGTGCTTGCAGTAGTTACCCAATGAGGGTTTTGAAAAGGCTCTGAAAGGCCGCTCTTCTAGCCTTTTCTGTGACCGTGCTGAGCCTACCGCGCAGGCCTAGCGTTTTTTTTTTTTTTTTTTTGCAACCTTTTCTCAGTTACAGAATCCTGCTGCCGTGGTTTCTATAGACCCAAGTTTTGAGAGCTTTTAGATATGTGCACGATTTCTTAGTGCTCCTACCGTGCGGTGCCTCAGTTTTACATTCTAAGGTGTCAAAAATTGTCGGTACATTTGAAGAGCATCTTCACCCTTTACTATAAAACAAGAACTGTGACACAATGGCTCCTTTTAGTTCTGTAAAATTAGTAAAAGCATGCGTGTTAAATAAAGCATTTTATTTGATACACAGATGTGCATTATTCTTAGAGGCTGTATTGCTGCCATCTCAAATTTTGGTTCCTGACCAACTAAAGGCCCCTTCACCAAATATTGTCTAATTTTTTTCATTAAAGAAGGAAGGGGATCTTGCTTGGGACTTGCAGGCACTCATAATCTGTTCTAGAAAAATGTTTCATTGCATTGCAGGTCTAATTTTCTGCTTGGCAATGTCACGAATATTAAATCTCTATTGAAGTTTTGTAACCACAATTTTCTGGAGTGCTATGTTGGGTGTACAACTCAAAACATTTTCCAGGGTATACCCATCACATGCAGAAACAATTTTCTTTTACAGGTGTGTGGGGAGAATGCACACAACCAAGCATTGTGTAATTACGTGAATGTGTAGAGCAAGGAAAAAAGATTGACAAGCCTGGAGCAACCATTCTCTTTTGTTAAGAAATATAAGTGGTGATCATCTCAAGCACCATGATCTATTCTGGAAGTTTTGTTCGACCTTTCTTAACCACACTTTGCTTTTAAATTACAAGTGTTGTTCAGGTGGCTCTCCTTGCTTTTTTTGTGCAGAAGAGGGGCATTCCAGCTGTACAGCAACTCTGGAGGATGGCGAGTCACAGAAGCGACAGTCCCATTCCTCTTCCACTGGTGTTTGTAAAACTGGAAGACTGTACGACATGGGAAATCGTCGTGAGGCCCACTCAGGCAAGCGACGGTTTCAATGCCACTTGTGCCCTCAAAGTTTCAAATCGCGGGGAAATCTCAACCAGCACATGCGCGTTCACACCGGCGAGCGGCCGCATCAGTGCCCTTCGTGTGATAAGAGCTTCTCAACGAAGTACATACTTTCACAACATCTGCGTATTCACACAGGCGAGCGACCATATCAGTGCTCTTTCTGCCCACAAAGGTTCGCATGGCATTCCTACTTGTCAGAACACCAACGTGTACACACAGGCGAGAAACCGTTTAAGTGTGATTTCTGCCCTGCAAGCTTTCGATGGAATCCCTCTCTAAAGAAACACCTGCGCACTCACACTAGAGAACGACCTTAACAATGCTCCTTCTGCCCACAAAGCTTTTCACATTGATCCACTCTATCAGATCATGTATGCATCCACCCAGGCAATCGACCATACAGTTGCACTGTCTTCTCAAAGTCTTTTGTGAGGTACAGTTACCTGAAGAGTCATATGGAAACAACACATTGAATGTTTTCAGCCTGGTATATGTAAATTGTCATTACATTGGTACTTCAGTTGTTTATGCAGTGATGCTCGTGCATGAGATGCTCGTGTATGTGATGCTCATGCAGTCAGAACTCGCACCATGTGCTTTTATGTTTCGAGCTGACACATGAAATCAGAGGATTTTCAAGAATTTTCCAACAAGTTTGGGAGACATGTTTTAAAAGAGCTTTTGTTGCCTTACCATGATTTTTCTTTATACAGTATTTCTTCAAAATAGTTGTTTGTGTAAGTGTGATGAATGGTTGATTGTTAGTCTTTAAAATGACTGTTGTGTCACTTGGGCATGTATTTTATAGACTCCTGTCTGTATGAACACCCCTGAATTTTTTTTTACTTTTGCCCTAGGGAAACTAGTTGCACCTTGTACTTCTGTGTTGTTTATGCATTGTGTTGTTACTAAGAATGTTTGCTGAGATAAAAGCCTTTGTGATGTTTGACCTATGTTTTTGGATGGTTTGCTACCTTTGCACCTCCAGCTGTGTTGCAATGCTTAGCTCATGATGATGATTGATATGTGGGGTTTATCGTCCCAAAACCACAATATGATTATGAGAGACGCCGTAGTGGAGGGCTCCGGAAATTTTGACCACCTGGGGTTCTTTAACGTGCACCCAAATCTGAGCACACGGGACTACAGCACTTCCGCCTCCATTGGAAATGCAGCCCCCGCAGCCGGGTTTCGATCCCACGACCTGTGGGTCAGCAGCCGAGTACTTTAGCCACTAGACCACCACGGCAGGGCAATGCTTAGCTCAAAAGAGCGAGTTCGATTTCTGTCCACAGCATGAGCATCTTTATGGTGGTGGAAAACAATAACACCATTTACTTAAATTTGGGTGAACATGAACTGCGTAGCACGCAAAGAGAGTTTCAAAGTAAAGAGTGGTGCACGAAAAAACCTAGGCAATTGTGTTTGAGTCACTATCTTTGACATACAAATTGTAAACTGCATTGCCATGATGCTTAGATTGCTCGAAAGCATCTGGTTGACTGTATAATACGACACTGGGAATCTGTTGAATATGAAACTACCCACAAGGGTCCACACACTTGAGCGTGTTTTGTGCCCTCAGAATTTCTCATGGAGGTCTTAGTGAACAAACACCTGTACAGTATTTGGGAGATGTTTGTTCTAATGTGTCGTCTTGCTAATACTAGTAGGTTGATTGGATTGCATTTATCTCAAGAAACTAAATGATGATTGTGCTATACCTTTTTAGTATTTTTAGTATTTAGTCTTACTATTATGATTTCGTAAACCAAGCACCCACGCATATTCACTCCACCAGGTGTAGGTGCAACAATGGGATGTAATGGCAGCATGCTTTCCATGACAAAGAATTAAAAACTTTTCCATAGAGGACTTGGAAGCAGTGTTAGACTTCTCTGCATATCCATAAAATACTACTGTTGCATTACCTTTTTCTTTATACTCGTGAAGTCGTAAGCATGTTGGTAAAGGGTGATGGCTGTGGTTGATGGGAATCAATAAAACTTTACTGAAAAGTTTTTGTGAGGCCTACATGAAAAGGTTTAAACTCAGCAGATAGAACAAAATAATTCTTTCTTTGTGTGGTTTCCACATTAGTAGCCTCATCATTGTTGGTATCCCCTTGCTCTTTTTGCCCTTCTTCGTAAAGTTGCGACTTCCCTATAACCTCTGTTTCTATTTTAAAAGCCATGCATTCTAGCACAAACGACAATAAAAGACGCGTTGCTAAGTCTTGCTGTTTTCTGATTATGTTTTTTATGTATTTTTCTAAAACACAGAGTTGAATTTTTAGTAGGTTGTAACCTTTTTTTTGTAAGCTTTTATCTTTTACTCAATCACTATCATGACTTCTTGAAACCATTTTGGATGAGTCCTAGCTGAACAGCTTTGGCGTGGAAATGAGTTAGTACTTCACCCGCAGGGGTGCTTGCGAATCTGCAGGCATTTGGTGTGTTGCATCACCACGGACCCGAGCACTTGTGGTTTGGACCCACCTGTCACAGCTCAAGCAGACATACCTGTACTGTGATGGCACAATGATTTAAAAAGATGATCTCTTTATTTTAAGTACCCTTTACTTTGGTCATGAGGCCTAAGTAAGACAACTTAGGGAAAGCAATGCACTGTTGTGCCATGGTAGCAACCTCAAGGGAAATGTGCTTTTGACAAGCCATTACATTGAAGAAAAATTAGAAACCCTCACTGTCATCTAAATATTCTGAATCTCTGGAGGCAGGAAGGTTCCCCCCTTCTTCACCCCCAAATCTGGACAGTGCACGTTGTGCTTATTGGGAACTATTAGATCGACAGGAAATATTAAAATAGTTTTGCTGAACATGTCACTGAATACTGGCTCATCTGTATTGGAAGCAAGCAAAAAATGCAAGTGCACGTCATTAAAACAACCCTGTGTCATTAAAACAACAGAGCATAATAAAGGGAACTTTGTTTTTTTCCTTTGTTCCTTTGTCACTGTTTTTTTTTTTTTTTCTGTAATGCATACATGCAGTTAGTATGAGGCATCCATTAGCGGCATATTGTATGGTGCAAGTATTGTTGCTGCTGCAGAAGTGCGGGGCGAGTTCCTTACTCGCCAACTAATGACGCTGATCAGTTCCGCGAAGGCGAACGCGGAAGGCCCACTCATGGGAAAGAAAAAAAGACTCCTTTGTTCGCAAGGTTCACGAACAGAGCCGTCAAGGTCACCCTCGTTTGGGACAAGAAGGGGAAGGAAATCTTGCACGAAAGTGCGTCTTCCAAAAATCAGGTCAAGCGCGACCGTCTGAGTTTAAGTCATTGTTGACATGCACATGTGCCATTGAGAATGCCGCAGGGACCCGACCACTGGGCTGACCGAGGCATGGCTGTGGCATGCAGACGAGCTTAACCTCCCCCGCTTTACGTCATTACCGAGTGTTGTTAGGATGGCAGGGCACCTCGCTGTCGCATGCATACCTGGTCAGCACACAGTGCCTGACAGTGTACTCACCGCGCTTCAGGACCGATCACATTAACAAGTTGTCTCTGCAAATTTTTCGAAATATTGATTAACCGCCGGCTTTTACATTACTTGGAATCAAAAAATCTACTCGATCGTGATTTGGTGAGGGTAGATCCACCACCGACCACCTTATGCATCGAAGCACAAATTTATGACGCTTTCATTCATAACAGTTCTTTCTTTCAGTATTCCTAGATATGAAAAAGGCATACGACACGACATGGTGCTTTGGCATACTGCAAGACCTCTCATACTTAGGTGTCCGAGGTAAAATGCTGACCCTAATCGAAAGTTATTTGTCAAACCGCACTTTTCGTGTTCAAGTGGGCAATGTCTTGTCACGAACATTTGTCCAGGAGACTGGAGTGCCACAAGGTGGTGTGTTGAATTGCACATTTTTTATTGTAAAAATGAGTACGCTGCATTCCCGCATTCTACGCAACATGTTTTATTACACATATGTCGACAATGTTCAGATCAGTTTTAAATCCTGCAATCGTGCAATCTTCGTGCGGCAGTTTCAGCTTGGTTTGAATACGGTCAATAAATGGGCAGGCGAAAACGGTTTCATCCTCAACCCACAAAAAAGCACATGCGTTTTATTTACATGAGAAGTCTCTATCCTGATCTGATCATTGACCTTCACGGCCAGCGACTAGCTGTGAAAACTAAACACAAATTTTTAGGCATAATTTTAGACATGAAATTTACATTTGTAACCCATATAAAAAATCTATGAAAAATGCTTGAAAGCTATGAATGTACTAAAGGTCTTGTCGCGGACATCATAGGGCAGTAATAGAAAATGCCTGATGAATTTTCATAAAAGCCTTAGACGCACATGCCTGGATTATGGGTTATGGGGCGATCACCTATCAGTTCGCAGCACCAAGCGCGTTAAGAAAATGCTTGACACTGTGCATTATTTGGGCATCCGTCTTTCTACAGGTGCTTTTCGTACTAGTGTTTAGAAAGCCTGTACGTCGACTCGAACGAGTAGTCATTACGTCTCCAAAGGTGCTGCCTATCTTTTGTGTATTTCATCAAAGTGAACGCCAACAACAAACAACCTTACACTAAACTGTCAATGATATGTCTAGTTCTGCCCTGTTTAACAAGCGCCCTGCCACGAGAGAGCCCTATGCAGTTCATGTGAGGGGTTTAACTGAAGAAACAGGCGCGCCTCTGAACACTGTTTAGCTGCTCCTGCTGCATATGTCTCGCCATGGCAGTGGCAGCTCACAGATTGCGATTTATCATTTGCTGAAGTTACCAAGCACGCACCCATTTCACATATCCGTACACATTTCCTTGAACTCCAACATAAATACTCATGCCCTGAATTCTTTACAGATGATTCAAAGACCCACACTTCAGTGAGCTTCGCAGCGGCCGGTCCATCTTTTACAGATGCCGACGTTCTGCGTCCTAACACCAACATGTTTATAGCAGAAGCCTACGTGATACTTGCGGCCGTAAAAAACATAAAACAACTCACTTTACAAAGCGCAGTAATATACATAGACTCCCTAAGCTTTGTTAAAGCCCTCAATACGCCCAAAAGACACAAAAAACCCATCCTAGTCTCGCTCTACTCACTCCTGTGCACAGTTTACTCGCTTAAAAACATGTCGTAATGTGCTGGGTGCCAGGGCACCGCGAGATACAAGGAAACGTGTTGGCGGACCGGAAAGCTGCATCCGCCAACGAAAACACCAATACAACCGTAGCTATCCCTGCGCTTGACTTAAAACCTTTCCTGAGACAAAAGCTCAGAGCTTACTGGCAGAGCAAATGGGATTTACACATACGAAATAAACTACACGTTACCAAGCCGCAACTTGGTATTTGGCCGCCAGTGTCCAAGCCACGTCATACAGAAGTTACACTTACAAGGCTCAGAATCAGACACACTTACAGTACACATTCGTACCTTCTGTTCGGTGATGACCCTCTCATGTGTGAGAAATATGGAGAACCACTGACCGTGCTTCATATATTAGTACAATGCACTGAACTAGACCATATAAAAAAAAGCATTTCCGGTTACTACATCGAGACAAAATGCCTCTTCATCCAGTGATGTTCATTGGTAAAGATCCGCTTTTTAAACTCAATTCACTGTTCTCAAAGTCTGGGAATACGAAAAAAAAAAATGGTAGACACTATAAGAGCCTTTGCATATTCCAATATGTCCAAACTAGAGCTTTCAGGCATTATGCCCCACTTAGCTTTTCGTAACATTATTTGCCCATTTCACTCTAAAATGATGCATACTGTGCTAGTTCTGAACTGAATATGGTTTATTTCAAAAACTCATTCATCCACTTCAGTATGAATCAGAATGATTGTTTCTCTGTAAGGAAATACGCAGTCAAAGTACAGCCTGTTATTCTATTTCGACTTCTCAAAGTCACTTCAGGTCTTGTAACATACTGTAAAACACCCTGGCAGTGCCCATTTTCATGCTTGTTGGAAGCACCTAGTAAACACTTAGCAAGTCTTGACAGTCGTGACAAGTTTTGATAAACTGCTTGTGCAGCCTCAATCCGCACACTTCTCGAGCAGGCCACAATTAAGAAGCACGATGCATAATCTGTTGTCAGGAGGAATAAAGTTGAGTGGCACTGTGATGTGCAAAAAAATGTGAATATGGGAAAGAATGTGTTCAGGTACAATGAGTGGGCGCTGTGTGCCTCATCGTTTGCCATTTGAAAGTAAATATGCTTTCTTCGATTCTGTACCCACCGTAGTCCTACCTCAAAGGTTTTCATTGGTGACCACCTTAACTTTTACTGCTTCGACCAGACATGCAACCATATTTAGATAAATGCAAGTTTAAATTAATGTGAGAAAAGTGCCTCCACGGTATTTTATGGTAGTTGTGAACATTTTTTTTCCATTGCTGAATTTTCGTTCAGCCCTAGGTATGGCTTCGAATAGCAAAGCAGTTGTACACATTCCATCCTTTTAATCCTAATTGGCACACCATCCTGCAATTTGAACCCTTTTACAAAATGCTCTAGTTGGATATAGGTGATTACCAATGCAAAAGACTTGAAGGGGTCGTGACACCCGATTTTCGCCCATAATCTTTGTTGTATGGGTAGGTCCTTGTACGTTCACAAACAAGCTGGCGAAATTTCGGAGCATTCGGTCATACCAGTCATTTATAATTCGTCATTTTTATGAACAAGCAAGTGGCCTAGTGGTTGGGCAACACTGGCGCACTCGCTAGCCGTGAGGTATCTAACCGCTTACTCCGCAAGCTTCTGCATTGTGTGCAGTACGCAGGGTGATCAAGTTTCATGGTCAGCTGCGCTTGCAATCAAGTTATTTTAGCGTTGTGCAACGTGCCACTGGAACTGAATGACTTGCAGTGGTTGAAGCAATTCCACCGTGTCGCCCATGCTGTGCTGTGGGGTGCCAGAGGGCACAAAGCAGGGAGAATACTGTGTCATTCTTCAAGTTCGCTAAAGAGCCCGCCAAGGGCAAGGCTCTGGAGATAAATGTGCACAGGAAGGATTGGTGCGCAAGTGACACATCTGTTTTGTACTCGGCACACTTCACAGCAGACAGGTACAATGATGACCAGTGTCTTCTCGGCGAGTTCGGTATGCCAGTTCAAAAGCCGAGCCTGCGGCCAGACGATGTGCCGACCTTGTTTTCGCACGTAGTGTCGCACGGAGTACTTGCCGTTCGCTTCAATTAATAATTACATACATGCCGCACGTATACCAAAAGATGCAAAAGCATCGGTCAGTATGCACAGCATTGTTACCACCACTTATTAAGTTGTGCATGCTAGCAATCAAAAATCTGCACGCTTTACGAATTCCAATGCGCAATGAGTGCTCGCGAATGCAGCGTCTCCTAATCGTTAAGCTCGCTTGTCAACCTGGCATGCTTGAAATTGCAGAAGGCCGTCAGCAACTTCTTCCACAACACCGAGGTCGTTGGCATCTGGGTTTGCCCCGTCTTCGACGCTTTCTTCGTCGCTCGAGCTGGTGGTGATGGTGTCGAAACCAGAATGCGGAGCGTACACCAATGTCGTTGCTGCTTCTGCTGCTTGATGAATCATTGCCGAAATCTTGAGCTGATGATGGGGCCGGTGACATGGCGATAGGTATTGGTACCACTTCGCAACACTTGCAATATGTGCAGACTATGCAGCAAGGAACACTCGCAACACAGTGAACACACTGACCGCGTGCCGAAGGTGCCGTTTGGTTGCAGACAACGGCACTGCTCCCATCAGTTTGTGATGTCACGCCCACCACAGCAAAATGGCAGTCGCTGACACTGGGCGGAGTTTACAGCCGAAGACTTCTACGCCTTATTTTAGATTGAAATAATCTTTCACAGTCCAGTTTTCACATGTGTACAAGCATATTCAACCGTCTACCTTCGTTTTTCTCCAAAAACCGCAAATTGTTGGGTGACCATGTCCTGACCCCTTTAAATAATGAAACCAAGACAAAAACTTGGTGGAATCTGGAGGCTTGGAGGGATGAAAAGGATAGTTAAACTCGAAAGATCGCAGCAGGCAACATCTTGGAAAAGTGAATGTTTCATCATTAGGACATTGCTGCCCTAACTAGGGCATGTCCATTTTGTCTAAACTGGCTTCAGTGACATCCCCTGTTCAACGATTGTTTTGTCATTTTGTTGATAGAGCCTCAGGCTTCTTTGGATAATTTGTGGGACAGCCACTGATAGCTAATGTAGAATTTTTCAGAAGCAACATTATTTTTATCCGGAATGTTCTTGTCAGTGATGTTCTTAATTATTTTTGTCAAAGCACCTTATATTGCATTCTTGTTGATTTGTTACCTTCATTGAATAACGTTTTATGCACACTTAATAGGGACCCTGTCTTATTTTCTAAGTTCTCTATTACAACACCTCCCTTGTGTCATGCTGAGCTTAGTGCTTAAAGTGACGTGAGCAATCGATCGAACTTCTGAATTCAAACCAAGAGTGGACAACAAAGGGAGGCATTTCATTTTGCTAGTCCACACGTGTGCAGCTTCCATCCTTAAAACAACTTTGACTTGTTAGTGAAAGCAACCATCTATTGTGGCTTTCCCATGGCAACTTCTACATGAGCTTTATCACCGACAGGTGACCTTGGTGCAGGGTTGCCACCGACTTTCGAGTGAATTTGACAAATGACGAGCGAAGTGTCACGAAAAGTCATGCCAAAGTTTGCCAAAAACTTCACCACTCTACATGTGTGTGGCTTGTCTGGTTATAAAAATTGCTAATTATGTGTAGCCCCCATGCAGTACAGTACCATTCATAACTCAATTATACAGTTCAATTATATCGGCGTTTTTTAATGCCTGTCGTGTCAGCCACTTCACCATGAGAGCGCACAGAAAGAGCATGCATGCTCCAACAGCGCTCCTGAATGCTAGCGCCTCATAAGAAAAGTTTGTGATGTTTTCAGTTGTAACGAATACAGGGCGAAGCAGTCACTACAACAAACGAGGGGCAGCGTGCGTGGCATTCCTGCAGATTTATAGAATTTCATTGCAGTGCAATCTTGTGTCCAATAGTTGACCAACTTAATCACAAAACAACGGAAATAAATTTGAACACACTGCATACTCGTCACAATGCCCGCAGAACACTTTCTTTGCGCTCATGCCTATGCTACACATTCGCCTCAGTGCAGTTTTTGAAGTTTCTGAAAGCCGCCTAAAGAACCCGATTTCCTGATCGTCCTGAAAGTCGGTTAATAACAAGTGTGCACTCTACATACCGAATCAGGGAGTACTACAGCACTGGAGAAGTCGACAAGCTGTTCAGGGCAGTTGGTGCTGTCGTTGAAACACACAGCCTGTCACCTAGCCACTTCAGAAACGAACGTTAAAGAAGCTTAAAGCTCTTGGAGCGCCTAAAAGCCTAGTATAACATTACCGCCTTGTGGCACGTGAAGCAGTTTACTGACCTTCTACTGGGAGGTTGCTGGCTGACATACCAGAGCACCAGTACTTCAAGGGTGTGGGCGAATTAAGGAGATACACAAGAGAAACAGAACAGATGTACTCAATTGCACAGAAAGTGCTATACTGGTGGGTATGAAACTACAAAAACTAGAAAAATGTTGTTGCCCATTCGCTCTGAAGACACTGACTATAGAATGCATAACTCAGTCAACACCTAAGCCGAAAATCGCCAAAAATTTATCATGTTGCCATTCATAATTTTAAGTCACCACGGACCTCTCAAATTCACCAATTTGGCAAAAAGTAGCCACCAGTGGCAACCCTGCCGTAATAACGCACTAGTAGCTGCATCTCTAGAGGAGCACCTGGTAAACATTTCATTGCACCACTGTTGTTGCAGGAGGGTGAAAAAGAAAAGAAAAGCTAGTACATGTCAATTGTTATAGCTGCAGACTCCTGTGAGACCATGGCTTTCTCATTGTTGTTTCTCGGTGAGTTAGCTCACATCCTTTCACGACATGGTGCTGCCAGTATTAGCACGATGGGGCCCAACACGGCAATTCTAATACATAGTGTAATTCTTAAAAATGTGACTTGCATTTTTATTTTGATATTAAAAGGCAGTGAAAGCATGTGACCTGCAATCAGACAATTGAACCCAACCAGTTAGATGCAAAGGTCTGACATGCTGTACGTTGTGCTTCAGAATTTGTCAGTAACCACACAAGACAATATGCATCATTATAGTGTTGTTGAACTAGCATGAACACATGAAACCAAGAAACATAGTCAGCTCCAAATTTCAGAATACATTGCAAACATCAATCGTTAGTGCATAACCACCTGCTTTGTATAAATGTAAGATATCAAGATTTTCGGTAAAGAGACTAGTGCTTATATTCCATTCTCTTGCAACATGATGTATCACGATAAGTATGTACTGTATAATATATTTTTTTCTCTTAGTATGATTATTCTACTACAATGAGTTTTTGTTGTTACCTAGCTGGTGTTTGATTCATTTGTTTTATATTGCTGGCATTGCTACATTAGCATTGCACGATTCTTCTTTTTGTAGTGGTATTGTATATAATATCTATTTCTGTAGTTGGTATTTCTGTCCTTGAGCAGTTCCAGTTATTGATTTAATTTTATGCAAACCTATGTATGTGTATTTATTATTTGCTGTTTTCATGCCGAGCGTTCTACTGAACTGCTTATTGTTACTGATTTTTATAGTCTGGTTGTTGAGCACCATCAAGCTACTTGCGTGGCTTTTAAGTTTTCACGCAGCACAACCATTCAGAGTGTGCATAAACTTGCACATCACATACATGCCACCCGGCTAACGTCCTGTGCTAGGAATTATCAGAGTGCAACGCTACGGTGTTGCGAGTAACAGTGCATCAGGAAGAAGAGGAAAAAGACGTTTTTTTGGGAGAAACGAAGCACGTGACTATAATTGACTATATATCATATACTATAAACGAAGCACATGACTATAACAATTTTCATTTTCTGAACAGTGTCTGACAAATATTTAGAATACACATTTAAGTTTTATATATGCATAGTATTTGCACATATTTACAAAGCATGTAGTTTGTTCATTGTTGTGTGTTTCCTTTTTATTTCATGTTTCTAGATGAGTGGTCTCTGTTGTTTCAGGTAGCCTTTTTCATCCCTAGGCTGTGGAAATCCATCACCTGCAGTCAGCACAAAAACTGGCTTCCTGGGCTTATTAAAGTATCAAGTACTTTGATCCATAGGCAAGTGCACAAGGGGTGGGTGGGGGTGGCAAAGCTTAATCTATACTTTGATTTAATTGAAGGTGGGGTTCTAATGTATTTTTGGCCCCCCTGGAGAGGAAGGCTGCACACGATTATGCTTTGATTATTGTGCTTTCACTGCTGCCCAAACATCGTCAAGTCCAACAGAAAGTAAACATATTATAGAAACAGCATTCATAATTCATGAAGCGGGGCCTCTTCAACCTTTCAACGTCACTGCAGAAGGAAACTTGCACACCCAATTTCACTACAGAAAACATAACTGATGTTTCGTTAGCATTGCTCTTCCACAGCTGAGCATGTTTTATGTGTACTGAACTTGATGATAAGGGTGAGGTGGTGTTATTCCATCATTTTTTTTTACTATTCTGAGTTGCATTTTTTTTATTTTGCAAATAAGTAACCAACCGTAGAAGCATTGATAAGGTGTCCTATGCTCTCTTATCAAAGCAGATTATGAGACCTGCTTACTTAGTTTCAATTACGGTGCTTTTTTACTTGGTCAGTGTGCATTAAGAAAAAAAAAAGCTGTGCAACTGTACTAATCTCCACATTTGTGCAAATGCAACTGGTTGTCTCAATTTTAGAACTGAGTGGTTATGCTCGAGGTTTGCCTTGTGTCGTAGATAGGAAATGGTCATCGTCAAAAACTGCCATGTGCTCCATTCGTCCTCTTCTGCTTCGCTATCAGATCGTGAGTGCTGATAGAACGAGTACAGATTGCGAGGAGGAGAAATTTTTGGCTAGTCGAGATTCGAACCTGTGTATCTACTATCCAAAGATAAGCATCATAATCGCTTGACTATGCATGCACGCTAGCTTCGCATAGCATATCCTTGTATACTCTAGTATAAAATGTGGTGTGAGAAAGGGAAGTGGGCATGAGGAGGAGGGGAGAGCAAGCACAGAGATATAACAAGAAAGAGAGAGAGCAAAGTATGAAACGCAAGAGGATGATTGCAGAGAGAGAAAAAGACTTGAAGAGACATAGAAATAGAGGTAAATAAAAAAGAGCAAGCATAACCACATAAAGTATAGTATACGAAAAGTTCAGCAAGAGAGGAGTGAGGGTGTAAAAGCCCAGCCATGAAAAGATCAGCTAGGTGCCCGGAAACTCTTCTTTGCCCCCAACCTTGCACAGCTTAATGTAAGCTGTTGAAACCTTTTTAGTTCATATAATACATTGCAATTTACTTAAGGAGTGTCTCTGTTCAAGGAGAAGGGCTAATGGGAAAACGCTTGGCACAGAAAGAGTTCTCTGTGTTTAGGGGCTTACTTTGGTTGTTAGTTGAGCTTCAGTGACTGAGATTGCAATGATTGAAAGTATTAAATATAAACAAGAAATGCACAGGCAGCCTTTGTTCTCACGTGTTATAAATCTTGGTCTAGTGCTTGCATGTATACTTTGCGCTATATATATGTTTAAACGATGCATGCAGTGGGTAGTTGCACTTGTTCCTGTTGACCTGTGCTTCTCTAATTCATTTTTAAATGTTATACCTTCTGTCAACACAAACTTAGTCAACCCAAACAAACTTGTTTCAGGGATCACTCAGATGCCTCAGAGACCTGTGTCAATTTTCCCATGTAGCTTGAAAAAGTAATCAAGGTTACCCACCACAGGAAAAGCAACAGTCATCACAGCAGGGGCCTCCTCGCCAAGTAGTCCACCGTCTCTCGTAAAGCACAGGGTCGTCTACATGTGCAAACAGCCATTTAGGAAGGATGCAATGCGGTGCTTGTTCTTGCTGCATGGTTCATCCTTCTGAACTTTGTTGCTGAGTGTCAGCAAGACAAACATAAGCAAAGCTTTAGAGCATTGCTCTTGAATACCTATTCATGCCTCCTCTTCAATATAACCAAGCGTATGAAGGACAGTAATAATGAGAATGCATGACAAGAAACGCGAAGGTGGCACTTTGCTGTCCTGAGTGCATCACTACCAGTTCAACAGCGCATCCTAAAAGCAAACATTTACAATTTTTTTCTGAAAATGAGTGATGCAACCAGTATAACTGGTTTGTTTATTTTTGAATTTTTAAGATCTGTCAAATACAAGTGAAGTTAAGGGATTCGTTGCATGCTTGAAGTTCTTTCTCGAACTTCATACCAGTAGTTGTGTTGAAAACTATGTGAAGAAGAGAAGGGAACATAACAAACAAGGGGGCTAGAAGCTCGTGACCGTTGGCCAAGGTGCACGGTGTCCTTGAGTGCTATTCTTTTTCTTTTCGATCGCACTCCTTGCTTTCAGTGTTATCGTAAGCAAGTGCTCAGGCACCTAGCAGCATCCCGCAGTGGCCAACACTAACTATGCAGCTCAGGATGATCGTATAAGCCAGTGAATGTAGACATTGAGTAAATGGCCCAGCAATTTGGCTTTATGGGGTCATTTGTAGAGAGAATAAAAGATACAAGATGAACGTGGTACAGGCTTACGCACCTACTTCCAGCCATGATGATGCTTCAGTTGAAAGCTTCTATGAAGACGTGGAATCGGTAATGAGTAAGGTAAAAACACAGTATACTATACTGATGGGAGACTTTAATGCAAAGGTAGGGAAGAAGCAGGCTGGAGACCAGGCAGTAGGAGAATATGGAATCGGTACTAGAAACACCAGAGGAGAGCTACTAGTAGAATTCGCAGAATGCAATAATTTACGGATTTTGAATACCTTCTACCGAAAACGAGGAAACCGCAAGTGGACATGGAGGAGCCCTAATGGCGAAAATAAGAACGAAATAGACTATATAATGAGTGCACACCCAGACATCGTGCAGGGTGTGAAAATGGTTGGCAAGGTACGATGCAGTGACCATAGAATGGTACGGTCTCGAATTCGCCTAGACTTGAAGAAGGAATGACAGAAACTGATATGCAAGAAGCCAATCAATGAGCTAGCACTGAGAGGGAAAGTACAGGAATTCAAAGTCTCGCTTCAGAACAGGTACTCTGCTCTTAGTGAGGAAACCAACCTTAGCAGAGGTACAAAGTATCATTACGGAGTGTGTAGAGGAAGTTGGAGGCAGGGTAATTGGACAGGACACCGGCAAGCTTTCCCAGGAAACGAAGAATCTCATTAAGAAGTGTCAAATCATGAAAGTCTCAAGTACAACAGACAAAATACAACTGGCAGAGCTTTCAAAGTTGATTAATAGGCGTAAGGTATGCGATGTAAGAAGGTATAACATGGAGAGAATTGAACACGCTCTGAAAAACGGAGGAAGCGTCAAAGCAGTGAAGAGGAAACTTGGGATAGGCAAAAATCGGATGTATGCACTAAGGGACAAAGAAGGCAAAATAACTACCAATATGAATAGGATAATTAAAATAGCGGCGGAGTTTTACAGAGATCTGTACAGTAGCCTGGACAACCACGACTTTAATACTATAAGAACTAGCAGTAACCCAGATGACACCCCACCAGTAATGATAGAAGAAGTCAGAAAAGCTTTGGAGAGCATGCAAAGAGGCAAAGCTGCTGGTGAGGATCAGGTAACATCAGATCTGCTGAAAGATGGACAGATTGTGTTAGAAAAACTAGCCACCCTGTTTACGAGGTCTCTCCTGACGGGAAGAGTACCAGAGTCTTGGAAAAACGCTAACATCATTTTAATACATAAGAAAGGAGATGACAAAGACTTGAAGAATTACAGGCCGATCAGCTTGCTCTCTGTAGTATACAAGTTATTTACAAAGGTAATTGCTAACAGAGTAAAGAAAACATTAGAATTCAATCAACCAAAGGAACAAGCAGGATTTCGAACAGGCTACTCAACAATCGGCCACATTTTTACTACCAATCAGGTAATAGAGAAATGCTCAGAATATAACCAACCACTATACATAGCCTTCATAGATTACGAGAAGGAGTTTGATTCAGTAGAAATATCAGCCATCATGCAGACACTGTGGAATCAGGGCGTTCATGAAGTATATATAAACATCCTGGAAGAAATCTATAGGGGATCAACTGCTACCATAGTGCTTCATGAAGAAAGCAACAGAATACCAATCAAGAATGGTGTAAGGCAGGGAGACACAGTCGCCCTTATGCTATTTACGGCGTGCTTTCAGGAGGTTTTCAAAACCCTAGAACGGGAACAGTTAGGGATAAAAGTTAATGGAGAGTACCTTAGTAACCTGCGCTTTGCCAATGACATTGCATGGCTGAGTAACTCAGGGGACGAATTGCAACTCATGATTAAGGAGTTAGACAAGGAGAGCAGAAAGGTGGGTCTTAAAATTATACTGCAGAAAACGAAAGTAATGTACAACCTAGGAAAAAAGCGGCGCTTCGAGATAGGTAATAGTGCACTTCAACTTGTAAAAGACTATGTCTACTTAGGGCAGGTAATAACCGCGGAGCCGAACAACGAGATTGAAGTAACTAGGAGGATAAGAATGAGGTGGAGCACAATTGGCAAGCACCCTAAAATTATGACAGGTAGATTGCCACTATCCCTCAAGAGGAAGGTATATAACAGCTCTATCTTGCCGGTACTTAGCTACGGAGCAGAAACCTGGAGACTTATAAAGAGGATTCAGCTTAAATTGAGGACGACTCAGCGAGCAATGGAAAGAAAAATGGTAGGTGTAACCTTAAGAGACAAGAGGAGAGCAGAGTGGATTAGGGGACAAACGGGGGTTAAGGATATCATGGTTGAAATAAAGAAGACGAAACGGACATGGGCCGGGCATGTAGCGCGTAGACAGGATAACCGCTGGTTATTAAGGGTAACTAGCTGGATTCCCAGAGAAGGCAAGCGGGTTAGGGGGAGACAGAAGGTTAGGTGGGCAGATGAGATTAAGAAGTTTGCGGGTATAAATTCGCAGCAGCAAGCACAGGACCGGGTCAACTGGCAGAACATGGGAGAGGCCTTTGTCCTGCAGTGGACGTAGTCAGGCTGATGATGATGATGATGATGATGATGATGATTGTAGAGAGCAGAGGGAGGAATTTCTATATGATTTTGAGAATTGATTATGAATTCCAAGCCATGTACAGTGCTCTAATGTCTGGCTCAAGTATTTTCAGAAGTTTTGACTACCGTTCGCCAGCGTTTTCTCACCGTGCTGAAAAAGTACTGCAGGGCTCTTTTAAGTGCGATTGCCAAGAAGGTCTGAAGTTCCGCACTGCCGCAGGGAGCACCCAGATCTTCGCATATCTCAAATTCGAGAACATCTAAAGAGGGAGCATCGTTAAGGAGTATTTTAATCGTACATACATTTTTTTTTTGCTTGTGTTCTCTATATTATATTTATTGCCAACAAAGAATGTATGAAGGGGGTACTTGAAAAAGGAGCAAATATAATTTGACGTACTTTAAGTGTTCAGAGAGATTTGTGCATGTACCAGTAACGAAGTAGAGATAACATCCACTTACAACTCTGGTGTAAAAAGGGCTCCAGTACAGCTCAGCATATGCTAAGATGTACAGGAGGAGCCTTTTTTCCTCTGTGTTACCATTTACATAGTAAAAAAATATCCAGGTTCATTGACACATATTGTTTCTATCCTTACAGATTTGCAGTGTCATATGTTCTCGTCGGATACTGGCCTCAAGGGCTTATGGCACATTCGAAAAGAAGGCAGCATGAAGTTTGCCACAACTCCAAGCAGCCTTTATGTTCAGAAGTTCTCACCAGAAGTTCTCTCGGGTTACTTTGTAGAGACAGAGCAAGACACTTAACTGCAGTATTTCAAATTCTATGCATTTGCAGGAAGGCCAGATGGAAAGGGTAGGAGAATGATAAGTTCTTACATAAAAAAAATTGTAGTGTGTCGTGAATTGATACACATGCTTTATATGCATGCCTTGGAAAGACTACATGAAAGTGACTCGATACGAGCTGCATTGGTGGTTGGCACACCCATTTAGCCCTGTTGTCATCATTTTGTTACTGTCATTGTCTTTTCTTTATTCTTTGCGTCATAATATTGTTCTGTACGCTCAAGTCACTAATGACTCATGACGACACAGTGAGTGTATGACCTCTACAGAAGTGTATTTAATAGACATACTATGGTCACCTAGACCTTTAGTGCTTGCAAAGTGGATTGGTGCTTTTAACATTTTTTTATTTTTCTCTAAAGCATCTTGGTATAAACTACTCATTACGACACTCATTGTTTACACTATTAAGATGTCTTCTGTACAGCATAATTATGTTCCTTGCATTAGGCAGTCGAAAAGTAGTTCCATGTTCAGTAAACGATTTGGAATGGTTATTTTTATTGTCAAAATTTCGTAAATGTTTAGCACCTTCTTTATGGCTGTTTAGCAGCATTCATAAAAAGAATCTTCTGGCAGCTCTAATCACAATGACACTCGTACATCAGCATTTATATGCCGAGGTGTATTCCTTACGTTAAAGGGACACTAAAGGCAAATATTATGACGATGTTTATTGCTGAAATAGCCGTTGGGAAACCTCGTCCTGCTACTTTTGTCCCAAGGAAGTGCTTATTTTGGTATATAATCACGTTTAAACGGTCTACGTCGCATTGGCACACTTCTAATTACCCGCTTCAAGTGGGAACTTTCATGTCATTTTGGCTGTGAAGTTCCTAGGCGAAACAAGTTCCCTGGTAGCGTCTCTCATTGTTCTCGATGCCGTCTTCCTCACTCTCTCGCTTACCTCTTCTTTTCTCTGCCATTCACGTCTGTAATTGGTGCATTTCTTGCACGTGATCTTGCATATGGCAGAAGATGTTATTTATTATAATGCAAAATGTTCAAATTTAGTGTCAATGTTCATAAAACCATACCATTATTTATTTTGTGAATCACATGTGTGGTGTCATATGTGTTATTCTGTCCTAAATAACCTTGTAGCACATAGTGTTTTTGAGGCGTTAATGCACATATTAGGCACATATTTATGATGAGGTGCAAATGTTACATTGATCCATCATAGTGTTTGAGCTAAAAAGTATACTTAAACACTAATGTGCATAAACATATACGATTATTCTGTGCAAATACATATGTTTTATGCATTGCACCATTGTTTTCGTCTGCCTTTGCATTTTTCACAAAAATGTTCAAGGTGATTGGGGCTGCCAGTTTAGGTATATATTAATGTATTTTAATTAACTGATGCTCGTTTTTTATTTCTTTGTCTTGACTGTATTTGTTCTTGCTGTCACTTTTAGAACTGCTGCTTCCTTGCTTTTGTGATTGTTGACTTGCATCAACGGCAAAAGTTTGACTAACCATAAAATTGCTTGAAAAGCAAAAAGCTGTTGACAATGAAATGAATACCGCTCTTGTGTGTAACAAAAATGACATAGCTTGTGTATTACGGAAAGGAATAAATAGACTGAAATAGTATTTGGCTGTGTCTAACAAGGAAACAAGCAACTTGAGAATGATATTTTCTGGCTGATAGTTATGTCACTCATGCAGTTTTGATTGTTTATTACTGGTATTAGCTTGGCATACCACTTGGCACATCAAAAATTCTGCTCTTCTGCTACCTTAATAGCAGTACCTTTGCCTAAATTGTATCAGTGCTTGTGTACTGGGTGTGTTGAATAGTGGCAAAATGAACAAGAATATTGGTGTGCTTATGACTGGTGACTTGTGATGAGGGTAGAAATGTTGATTTATTCATGTTTGGCATTTAAGTCAAGTCAATTTCTTGCATATTTCATACTCGGTTACATGGTTGGAATAGTACAGGAGGAGGTCCCAAAGTTTCATAGAAACTGACGGAGGGACCTCCTCTGGCGACATTAATCGGATAATTACAAAAAAAAGTACTGTAAAAGGTGTGAATTTGTGAGTGAAGACTAATGAGCTTAATTAACAGTAACAATATAATTATTACATAACATGATAGTAATACAACTGATAAAATTAGGCATACAATTATCAATAGTAGGGGATAAAACTAGAACAAAGCAAAATTAAAGAACTGTACAGAACTGCAAATTAAAAAAATGTAAGTGTAAAGTATAATACGTACCGAAAGGCAATTTTAGAAAAAGGCTACCCTGCATTACCACTATATTTTTCTGCATGGTAATTTTCGGAATAATAAATCTCCATGAAATATTAGCTATCACACTTTTCTGGAGTAGCTTGTTAAGTGTACAAGTCGGGAAATTATCAAGTTTCAATCTATCGCTTTATGTTTCATGTATAAACAATTTTTTCGATACCCATGTGGACAAGTTGCGCACAGGTGAGCTTGAGTTTGGCGGTGCTTACTGTTTACATTTTGAGCTCAAAAACAAAAAAAAAGGATGATGACAAAGGGAGGTAAAATGTCACTGGCATTAAACTTTCAACTCAATAATTCAAAGGACACAGTAATGTGTTGTGAATTATGACAAGTTCAGACACAATTACATCCACTCATCAACTTAGCAGGGCAGCCACTTATGAAAAAAACATGTTTCTGATTGAAATAATCTAATAGATGTATCACTGACGCAGTGGCCACTTTTCTTTCGAATGTAGTAGGCTTCTAATAGCTCTCTAGTTGTGCGACCTTGGTTTCTGCTGAGTATCTTTACCCCTTAAATCTGTGGTTCACATGCGCAGTCATTATAGTGTGCAGGCAGGTGCGTCAAATCGCTCTTTAACTTTTGTTCACACTCCCTCGTTTGATTATTCAGGCACTTCTTCATCTGCCCTATGTATTGACTTGCCACATGTCAGCTTGCTATATATTGCCACATCTTTCTCTGAATAAACAAATGTAAAGTTTATTGTCTGGGCAGTCATAGCTTTCTCTGTTTCGTATTTCTTGTGCAGTCAGGAAAAATTGCGCACGCCCAAGCATTGTGTAATACAGTACTATTACGCAGAGCTGATGAAAAAGATCGACAGACCTGTAGCAGCCCTCTGCATTTGTTGCAGATTTTAGCTGGTGATTATCCTCAGTGCCAGAATCTATAGCTCTAGTTTTTGTTTGAACTTCCTTGACTTCATTATTTTTCCTAAACAAACCAAGTGTTCAGGTGCGCTTACCTTGTTTTTTGCAGAAGAAGGGTGTTCCAGCTGGCCAGCAGCTCTGGAGAATGGTGATGCACAGTGGCGACAGCCCCATCGATCTTCCATCGGCATCTCTGAAACTGAACAGCTATCTTATGTGAAAGTTCATTGCAAGGTTCACACAGGCAATCCACTATTTGAGTGCCACTTGTGCCCTCAAAGTTTCCAGCAGCAGGGCTCACTCAAGAGACATCTGCGCACCCACACTGACGAGCGGCCATATCAGTGCTCCGTCTGCTCGCAAAGCTTCTCATGGCAGGGTGACCTATCAGATCACCAACGTGTACACACACATGAGCGACCATATAATTGTCATTTGTGCCCTCGAGCCTTTTGGTGGAGAAGCAAGCTTAAGGCACACCTGCGCATGCACACTGGTGAACGTCCATTTCAGTGCTCCTACTGTTCGCAAGTGCTATCGGCAACAAACCGCCTTGTCAGAACACCTACGCACCCACACAGGCGAACGACCATACAGTTGCACTGTTTGCTCAAAGTCTTTTATGCGCAGCAATAATTTGAGAATTCACATGAGAAGACACACAGGGGAGAAAGCACACAGTTGCACTTTCTGTCCTAAGTCTTTTGTGCAGAGCTGTGAGTTGCGAGTTCACATGAAAACTCACACAGGCGAAAGACCCTATAGTTGTACAGTCTGCTGCAAGCGTTTTGTGCAGAGCGGTCACTTGACAAAACACATGAAAACACATCACTAAGTATGTTCTCATCCTGGCATGTGTGAACTGACATTTTTTTAGTACTTCAGTTCTTGACACAGCATGCTGCACATGATTCTAGGTGTAGGGGACGTTAAGCTTCAGATTATTAATAATTATTTTGGGATTCTGATTCTGGTACACCCTTGAACTACTTTATTAAGTAATCCTTGAATGACCAAATAAAGTAGTCATACGAAGGAGCCTGTGTTTGTTCATTATGACGCTCATTGTTAACACTAATAAAATATTTTTTGTTCAGCTTAATTATTATGTTCTTGCATTAGGCAGTGGAAAAGTAGTTTGAAGTTCAATAAACAGTATTAAATGCTTTATTTTTATTGTCCAAATTTCGTCAATGTTTGGCAACTAGTTTATGGCAATTTAGTAGCATCCTTAGGAAAACGTTTTGGCAGCCCTAATCACAGTGGCACTCTTACATCAGCATTCATGTGCCATGGTGTATTCCTTAGGTTAAGGGGACACTAAAGGCAAATATGATGACAATGTTGATTGCTGAAATAGCGGTCCTGTAGTGCTACTTTTGGGCCAAGGAAGTGCTTATTTTGAAATAAAATCACATTTTAGTGGTCCACATTGGTTTAGCACACTTCTAATTACCCGCCTCAAGTATTAACTTTCACATCACTGTGGCCGTGCACAATGTTTCCCGGCTCTACTGCGCGGCCGCTGACAGTAGTAGCAGCAGAGTGAAAGTAATGGGGGCTATAGCAGCAACAACGGCCATTGAACAATTTTTTTATTAAGGCCTCCGAGATGGCAGGCATGCCTAATTCAACTGGGCTCTGCTACCAGGCGAAAATTGAACTTTTTAACCACTCTTGCCATTCCTCATAATACTGTCCAGCGTTTTTTTTTTTTTTTTTCCATGAATCGAACAGAAACGATGAAGTAGCACTTTATTATGTCTCTGGACGCACGGAAGGCTCTCTATTTAGTGCTGCTAGTTTGAATACGAGTGATTAATTTTAGGCGATAACTTTGACTTCATTGGGATCATTTTTCGTATCTCCTACTCGTAGCGCATATGTTTCTCGTGTATTCATATTTAATTTCTCGGTAAGTAGGGCACCTGCTCTTGATGATATTGTCGTTTTCGATGTTGTAGTAAATTGTGCTTTCACTCTGACATAAATTGTTATTTGACTTTAGTGTCCCTTTAAGTTCTTGTGTTGTCATTTTGCCAATGCAGGTCACTGAAGCCTACATCAAATTATAAGTGCATGGTTGAAATGTGATCATACAGTTGCCACAACGATCTCAATGGCTTATAAGAAAACCATGCACTTTTACAATGAAGTCATCCAGTTAACACTCATTAATATCCCAAATGTTAATTGGCCCTTATGTTAAGTAAACTCATGCTCCGATATCATAATGTATACAATATAGTTCTTAGAGAAGCTCTGACATGAAATTTCAAGATCAAGATATGTTTGTCTGATTGCTTGGTACGCATGAGAATTTTTTAATGTTTGAGTGTTCGTCACTGGAAGTTACTTTATTTTAAGGACAAGGAGGGTACAAAAGTTCAGCTAGGCTTTTGGCATCCTGTGGCATCGTCATTAGTTTGGCATGTTCAGTGCGACTCATATTATCCTGAGTGATAATGCCCTAGTAGCAGTCACATTGCCGATTAAGTGTTCTTATCATGGTAGTGCTAACTGGTACCAATGCATGCAAATGCTGTCATTCCCAGGGACTCTCCTTTCTGTTCATGCCCGATTTTCATCACACTACTTTCAATGTTTTCATGAAAAAGACAAGTTACCAAAAAAAAAAACCAGGCAAGAGGAAAGAGCATAATTTGGTATATGATCGTCAGTCAGCATGTTGAGGAACTTCTGTGACCTGCAGTTGCATTGTTCGAAGTGCGGAAATTGTAAAAAGACTGTTTTCATTACCCATACAGTACACGCCAACATGACAAGCTATGAAAGTGGAGTTGCCTGTTGATAAATGCCATCAATAACAAGTAAGATACAGGTAACATTAATTATGAATTTTAATTATTTGGTAGACATCCTTGAATTAGCGTACTACTAGATGACTATATGTATAGTAAACATGAGAGGCTGGATAAGTGGAGCCATCAGGTCTAAAGTGGGGCCATCAGGTGGTCTAAAGAGAAACCTGGTAAGCGCAGAACTGTTAATCGTGAATTTTGTCTTGTTCTACTTCTCTGCTGGTGTTCATTCTCTATTCATATATTCTCTAAGCCCTTTGAGAATGGTTGATTGCTGTGCCAGCTAAAATTCTCGAATATAGCTGATTGAGGAGAGCCAGCAAGCAGGGCCCAATCATGCATTGCTTAGACACTTCCTTGTGAATCCTTGAAATGGTGTTCCTTTTTTAGTAGCTGTTTTGCGAACGGTCAAAGCCAAAATGGCTCACAATGTAGCAAATCGCGGCGATTCCGAGACAAAGAATGTTGTCTATATGACTTGTTGACACTTGATGGCGATTCTGGCGACCCTGAAGTGACTGCATGTGTGTGCCTTGCAGACGAAATGTCAGCTGAGCCTCGTGTCACTTTTTTCTGTGGCTAAGTGATCGGCCTGAGCACAGTCTGAAATTGACTGCGAGGAAGCACTGCCAGCACTGCATCTTGGTGGGCTAATCCTGCTCGATAGTGGTCATATTTTGAAATGAAAGAGATAGTTTATTTGTCCCTCACTTGGGTTTTGGGCTGTGAATCGCTACTACGGTGTCGATAACTAATCGTGAATGCATAAGTTTTTACATGCATAAATTTAGTGTCAATGTTCATAAAATAATAACATCAATTAATTTTGTGAATCACATGCTTGGTATCGTATGTGTTATCCTGTCCTGAATAAACATTCTAGCACATTGTGTTTTTGAGGCGTTAATTGACATATTGGGCACGCGTTTGTGGTTAGGTGCAAATGTTACATTGATTCACCATAGTGTTTGATCTAAAAAGTATACCTAAACACTAATGTACATAAACATATACGATTATTTTGTTCAAATAGATATGCTTTATGCATTGCACCATTGTTTTCATCTGCCTTTGCATTTTTTCACAAAAATGTTGAAGGTGATTGGGGCTGTCAGTGTAGGTATATATTAATGCACTTTAATTACCTTATGCTCGTTTTTCTTTTTTTTTGTCTTGACTCTCTATTTGTTTCTGCTGTCACTTTTAAAACTGCTACTTTCTTGCTTTCGTGATAGTTAACTTGCATCAGCGGCAAAAGTTTGACAACTATAAAATTGCTTGAAAAAACGAAAAGCTGTTGACAATGAAATAAATAGTGTTCTTGTGTGTGTAACAACAATGAAATATATTGTGTGTTGAGAAAAGGAAGAAATAGACTGAAATAGTATTTGGTGGTGTCTAACAAAGAAACAAGCAACTTAAGAATGATATTTTATGCTTATTATTATATCGCTCATACAGTTTTGACTGTTTATTACTGTTATCAGCTTGGCATACCACTTGGCACATCAAAAATTCTGCACTTCTGCTACCTTAATAGCTGTACCTTTGCCTTAATTGTATCAGTGCTTGTGTACTGGGTGTGTTGAATAGTGGCAAAATGAACAAGAATATTGGTGTGCTTATGACTGGTAACTTGTGATGAGGATAGAAATGTTGATTTATTCATGTTTGGCATTTAAGTCAGGTCAACTTATTGCAAATTTCACACTCGGTTACATGGTTGGAATAGTACAGGAGGAGGTCCCAAAGTTTCATAGAAACTGACGGAGGGACCTTCTGTGGCGACATTAATCGGATAATTACAAAAAAGTACTGCAAAAGGTGTGAATTTGTGAGCAAAGACTAATGAGCTTAATTAACAGTAATAATACAGTTATTACATAATGTGATAGGAATACTACTGATAAAATAAGACATACAATTATCAATAGCAGGGGATAAAACTAAAACAAATCAAAATTAAAGAACTGCACAGAACTGTAAATTAAAGAAATGTGAGTGTAAAGTATAATACATACTGAAAGGCAATTTTAGAAATAGGCTACACTGCATTACCACTATATTTTTCTGCATGGTAATTTTCGGAATAATAAATCTCCATGAAATATTAGCTATCACACTTTTCTAGAGTAGCTTGTTAAGTGTACAACTCGGGAAATTATCAAGTTTGAATCTATCATTATATGTTTCATGTATAAACAATTTTTTCGATACCCATGTGGACAAGTTGTGCACAGGGGAGCTTGAGTTTGGCCTAGCTGGTGCTTACTGTTTACATCTTGACCTCAAAAACAGTATAAAAAAAGGATGATGACAAAGGGAGGTAAAATGTCAGTGGTATTAAACTTTAAACTCGATAATTCAAAGGACAGAGCAATGTATTGTGAATTATAACAAGTTCAGACACAGTTACATCCACTCATCAACCTCGCAGGGCAGCCATTTATGAAAAAAAAACATGTTTCTGATTGAAATAATCTAATAGATGTATCACTGACGCAGTGGCCACTTTTCTTTCGAATGTAGTAGGCTTCCAATAGCTCTCTAGTTGTGCGACCTTGGTTTCTGCTGAGTATCTTTACCCCTTAAATCTGTGGTTCACATGCACAGTCATTATAGTGTGCAGGCAGGTGCGTCAAATCGCTTTTTAACTTTTGTTCACACTCCCTCGTATGTACTGACTTGCCACATGTAAGCTTGCTATATATTGCCATGTCTTTCTATGAATAGACAAATGTAAAGTTCATTATCTGGGCGTTCATAGCTTTCTCTGTTTCGTATTTCTTGTGCAGTCACGAAAAGTTGCGCATGCCCAAGCATTGTGTAACACAGTACTATTACGCAGTGCTGATGAAAAAGATCGACAGGCCTGTAGCAGCCCTCTGCATTTGTTGCAGATTTTAGCTGGTGATTATTCTCAGTGCCAGAATCTATTGCTCTAGTTTTTATTTGACCTTTCTTGACTGCATTATTTTTCTTAAACAAACTAAGTGTTCAGGTGGGCTCAAAGTCTTTTTTGCTGCACGCTTACTTGAAAAGGCATATGAAAACACAACACTAAGTATGTTTACAGCCTGTCATGTGGGAATTGGCTGTACATAGTATGCTGCATATGATTCTAGTGCTTCAGGATGTAAAACATCGGACATTAGTAATACTAGTACTATGAGTCTGGTGCTCCTAGAACTCACACCGAGCTGTCATGTGAAATCCAAGGATTTACAAGAATTACCTTACGTATTGAAGAGACATGTTTCAAAAAAGATTTTGTTGACTTACCATCATCCTTTGATATAAAATTCCTTGAATATGGTTTTGTGTGGGGTGGGATGATTAGTTATGTTGAATTGTTAATGTTCTTTCTCTCACTGTGGCATGTGTGTATTTTCCTATACTCCTGGTGATGCCAACATTCCCTAATTTAGTTACTTCCACAACCGCAAAACTCATTGCTGGTTATGCTTCTGTGTTGTTGGCAAGTCTTCTGTGAGGAATCGGAGTCCCGCATAGTGTTTAAGCTATCTCTTTGGCAGCATACTTGCCGTCAAGAGATTGAAACAGTGTAAAGTATTCGGAAGTGTTAAGCTATCCTTTGCTTCATATCTGTAATAAAGATACTGTGGAGTTTTTAATTTTCTTTTCTTTTTTTTAATTCCAGTGAAGTCATAAGCATATTGTATAGTGTTATGGCTCATGTCAATAAAGATTGGAATGATTAAAAATTGTTCTAATATCACTCTGTTCAGTCTGTAGAATAAAAATGTTTTTTTTTTGCCTTGTGTTGTGCGCAACATTAGCCTCATCATTGATGGTATCACCGTGCACCTTTTTTTTTTCTTTTTTATAGTGTTGTAACTTTCTTTTATGCTTTTGTTTCTTGTTTAAGAGCAATGCATTGCCGCACAGGGGGAAATAGAAGTTTCATTGCAAGTTCTCATTATTTTTTTATGACATCTTTTTATGTGATGCCCTGTACAAGGTACAGGGCATCACAAGATCTCACAAGGGCATCACAGAGCATCACAAGATCTTATGTTTGGCTTCTGCTGACATTCAATTAGACACGTCTACTTGTTAGTGCAGATACCATCAGTATCATTATTAGAGCAACATCAAAAGAGCCTCGAGGCTTCCTTAGATCTAAATCAGTGAATGAATAAGGTGCATTTGTGTTGTGACAAAAAAAAAAGATAAATTGCTGTTCTTTTTTTTTCTTTTTTTTCTGCTAAGA